GACACACGTGGAGGAGGAATGGATGGTTGGATCAAGCCTCAAGCAGCAGAAATTGCAGAGGAAGAATTAAACTGAAAACTTAGGTAGAAATTTGGTCACTCCCAAATTTGCCTTTTGCCTCATGGAAAACAAGACATCATGATTTAATTAAATTCGGTGCTAAAATGTCCAAAATTCCGCTTTATTGTTTAAGGTAAAAGGCCCTTTTCCACTGGACTACACAGTATATATACATCTGGATTATAAAAACACAACAGCCTTGACAGGGTATCACAGGGTGTCTATGATGATCATTCTTTAATTATGTTGCTGTGTAAGTGCTGAACACAACCTGAGAGTTATTTCAAGCTGAGTCAATCCCATGCCTTCAGGCTTAACGTGGCACCCTGCCTGTCCACCCTAGCTGTCTGACCTGCTTGGGACATTTCTCACCGGGCGTGACCACGCACGTGTGGGTGTGATCGTTGTCCACGTGTCTTCATTCAAACAATCTTGCACGACTCTGTGAATGTGAGTGTTTCAAGTTTAGATGCAACCTGATTAATCTGTTCTGTGTTTCCTGTTTCATGCATGTGAATGGCTCATGCAGAGGGAGCTTGAAGCTTCACTGGCCTTTCAGTTTGTTCTGGCGTATTTTAGGTGCTGCAGAGTGGAACAGTCACTTTACACTCAGCGTTGGCAGGATGTGTGAGTCAGTGGACAGAGTGTCCTTCATCTAGACAATCAGGGTTAAGGACCAAACTGGGAAACATCCACTTGAAATGAAATGTCATTTATTCTTTAGCTGACCTCCCTCAAGGCAACAGCAGGGCCATGTTTGTTTTGCTGTTCCTGAAAAGCTGGGCACAGTCTATGGTCTATCACTCACTTATTAGGTACGCCTTGGTAGTACCGGGTTGGACCCCCTTTTTAATTCTTGGTGTCATAGATTCAACAAGGTGCTGGAAACATTCCTCAGAGATTTTGGTCCACATTGACATGATAGCATCACACCATGTTGTTCACACCAAATTCTGACCCTGCCATCTGAATGTTGCAGCAGGAATCCAGACTCATCAGACCAGGCAACGTTTTTCCAATCTTCTATTGTCCAGTTTTGGTGAGCCTGTGTGAATTATAGCCTCAGTTTCCTGTTGTTAGCTGACAGGAGTGGCACCTGGTGTGGTCTTCTGCTGCTGTAGCCCATCTGCTTCAAGGTTCAACGTGTTGTTGGTTCAGAGATGGCCTTCTGCAGACCTTGATTGTAACCAGTGGTTATTTGAGTTACTGTTGCCTTTCTATCATCTTGAACCAGTCTGGCCATTCTCCTCTGACCTCTGGCATCAACAAGGCATTTTCACCCAGAGAACTGCTGCTCACTGGATATTTTCTCTTTTTCGGACCATCCTCTGTAAACCCTAGAGATGATTGTCTGTAAAAAAATTCCTGTAGATCAGTAGTTTCTGACAGACCAGCCCGTCTGGCACCAACAACCATGCCACGTTCAAAGTCACTTAAATCACCTTTCTTCCCCATTCTGATGATCATTTTGAACTTCAGCAGGTCGTCTTGACTATGTCTACATGCCTAAATGCATTGAGTTGCTGCCACATGATTGGCTGAATAGCTTTTTGCATGACCAAGCAGTTGAACAGGTGTACCTAATAAAGTGGTCTGTGAGTATATGTGACAAAGTCTGAGGTCCTGGGTGTGGCTTGCCCTAACCATACCGTAATCATTGTTTATTTGGCATAGCTACATTCTTTCCCCAACATTTACCGTACTGTAGTCACCATTCAATTAAATAAGTTGTCACTGAATGCTAAAACAAATCTGTGGTTTTGCAGAATTGTCCAGTATCAGTGTTCTGTCTGGCATTAGGGTCTCATAATAATTTCAAAATATTTTTTCTTTACCTCCATAAATTTGCCATAAAAAGTCAGAATTCTGTAATTTTATTTGGTCTAATTTCTCAGTTAGACCTAGTCAGCAGTGCGTGCACTTTTGCAGATGATAGATTGTTTTCTTTCGCAGAAAAACATCCAAATGCCCCGTAGATACACACACACACACACACACACACATAAACTGTATATTTGCTATTATATCAGATCCACTATCTTGATTTGAAATATTGCTTTGTCACCCTTTAATCCAACACATTGTTTTTGTTGTGGGTCCTAATGCTCTGAATTCACCTCTCTAACTGGATTTGGTGCCAGATCAGAGTGTGCACTCAACTGTTGTGGTCATGTGATGTAACAGAGCAAAGGATTTGCAGTTTTAGCAGTCGAGCTGCTGACCATCCCCTCTTCTCATTTCTCCGTTTGTCCAACCTCACTTCCTTTTGCCTCCTCTCCTTGCATCTCAGTCATGCGAGCGGAGGATGCAAAAAAAAAAAAAACATGAGGATCTGCATCATCCTGTTTTACATGTCCAGGTTACCAAAGAGACTTTCACAAAGGATATACCTGTGCCTCCGTGCTCCTCCAGCAAGCCTCCTCTCTCCTTAAGATGCATTTAAGGAATTGAGACATTCTTCAAGTTGGCACACTAAGATCAATTTGCAGATCACAGGTGGGAGGACGGAGGAGAGAGGAGATAAGGAGGCACAACATAGAGAAATGAGAAAAGCCCCATGAAGCTCATGCGGTGACAGTGACCTCACCCGTGATGCATTTACCTGCAGTAAGCCTGTATCAGTCTGAGTGTGATGTCTGGTTTGTGGCTGTGGCCACTCTAACGGGATTACCCGTTCATCCCTCTCTTACCTGCTCTCTCCATCCACTCTGTCTATTCTTATACCGCTCGTACTTGAACTCTAATCTCTCCTGTGAGGGGCTGTGTGAGTGCTGAGTTAACAGGCTGATTTCCAACACCACTGGTGCGTTATGCCAAATGGTGCAAAATCCCCAAAGTGCGTCACAACCTTTCCATTTGAGATGTAATATCCAAAACATTTAAAACCAGGTGCTTAAATTGTTACAGACTTTTTGTAGTTCCACTTTGTCCACTCGCCCCAAAGATAAAAGATAAATCATCTTCCTGTTTGGACTTCAGATGTGATCAGCAGAGAAGAATGTGTTCTGTAAATACAACGGGACTCTCTCGGGCTTCCAGCTCTTCTCCAACCTCTGATTTACAACAATAATATGTTCAGACAAAATGAATTCACCTGCAGAGCTGTTTTATGGGAGAATAAGTGCTCATTGTGATTGACCCCTTTTAAGACATTTCAAAGCTAAGCTAAGCTTTGCTCAGCTCCTAAAAATCCACATAAAGATTCAGTTAAAGTGAGAAAAGAGGATAAAAAGTTAGCATTTCCATTACAGATGTGTAATTTTTCTCCCACAGAGCTGACACCGTAGACATTTAAGCAATATTTAACATTTAATAACACCAATACTGACATGTTTCCCACCAGTGTCTCCCATTATCTCTCCTCAAATATATTAATAATGCTCCCTCACAACTCGACAAAAATAGTCTGAAAACAGCATGATGTATGTTGTTTTTATAACACCAAATAAATGTTTTTACCCCAGTATGAGTCATCATTCTTTGAAGGATTAAGAGTCTCTTCACCATATCAGGCAAAAGTTTGCAATCATGACTCTCTGGACTGTCAAATTAAACCAGATTGATACAGGACATAGAAGCCAGATTTAATAACACAAGAAAGCTCTGTTATCTCATTTGTACTGGCAACTCTAACACTTGGGAAAAAAACATCTCTTGATAGTTTACCATGCACTTTTGAATTTTGAAGTTTGGTGTTGCAGGAACTGGAGACTCCAGGACAATGGCTTCTTTCTAAAGCCTCCATGAGTGTGTGGAAAGAGGTTTCCTGTAAGGGGAGCAGCTTTCATTTTTCCTTGACCAGAAACTCTGCTTGTTGTCTCTCTGTTTTTTAATCATTCTGTTTCTTAGTCAGTAGACGTAATTATATACATCAGCCTATCATGACTATGGTAAACATTCAGATCAGACGTTCTCATCTGAACTCCATATTTAATGACTACATCACTTGTGTGAGAGCTGATGTAACTGAGAAAGCCCAAGTAACTTCACTGCATGAGAAGCAGGTTAGGTTGAGATGATGTGGCATTAAATCCTATCAAAGCTGCATCCACTGAATATGTTTTGGCCACTTAGGAGTATAATATAAAAATAGGTGATACTTTAAATGGCATTTTATCAAACAGTTGCCAATTTATACACTCATTTAGCAACATATTGAGGCCAGTCTCACTCCAAAGTCGTTGAAATCCGGCGCTTGGGCAGTGACTTGTGGCATGAGAAACCAACTAAGAAAGGCATCCTTTAAGGTTGATAAGATTCACAACCAGTTGCCGTTTTAGTTGAACGTCACCTGGTGGCATCAGGGGGAAACGCAGTGGGACAAGACAAAAGTTAAGGCAGAGAAAGTCCAATTAGGGCGGACAGGAGGGGTGCTGGATGGGTCCAACAAACTATGACCTTCACCCGAGAGAGTGGTGTTCACATCCCTTAAGATTGTAAAGCCAAACCCAGTTCTTTTTTCCTAAACCTAGCCACATGCATTTGTTGTTGTAGAACAAAAAAATGTTTTTGTTTACATAACATTTTTAACATTACACATAATCATTTGATTGGCTCATGAGGTCCCTTATATCTGGCTTTTTCATGTTCCATCAAAATAATTCCCTTTTTTTTTTTTTGCAGAAAACACAAACCTGGCATCTTGGCACAGACCTCTTCTGTTAACAACGTGTGCAACTAAAATGACAGGAATGTCTGAGATGGTTAAAAATAACCGAAGGGCCAATTCTGCAGCACCTTCACACTGTTGTTGTTTTTGTTCCTTTGTCGGCCATGAAATCCCTCCATTACAGTTAATATCTGTCTGGAAAACTAAACAAGTTATTTTGTCCTCTCTTTCACTTCATTACCTCAGAATTGTTCTTTCAGTTAACATCGCTAACTAGAAAACATAAATAACTTGTCTTCACTTTTCCCATTTCCATCCTCTCCTTTCTCAGAATCTGCCCCCAAGGCATTCGGCATCCCCCTCTCCCAGGTCATCGCCAATGACCGGGCCTACAAGATTCGGCAGGACGCCCTGAAGGAGAGCAGACGAGACTGTCTGGACCTGGAGGCCAGCATCCTGCGCTTCAGGGCCGAGAAGAGGCAGTTCTTCAATGGGAACAAGCCGCTGGTCAGCTCCTCTTCGATCACAGGAGGAGGTCCCAGCTTGCCATCAGCTAATTCGGTGGCACCGGCGCCCATATTTGAGACCCAGAACAAACCAATGTCGCCTACGTTTCTGGATAACACCAGCCGAGGACAGAGGAGGGTGAGACGGCTGTCTGAGTGATTAGATAAATATGTTTGCTGACTGTTGTAGGGTACTTTCTTGGTATCCTAACGTTTTTATTTATTCAAAGAGTTTTATAAACCATGATTTTGATAAACCATTCTTTGATGGCTTTCTAAAACCATGTGGTATGAATACAAGGACAAAACTGAGTAAAAAAAAAATCTGGGAAGTCAATTAGCCAAAACAACACTGAATAGTTACTACATATTTTTTCTACTTTTGCTGCAGCTGTGTTTTTTTTTTATTAATGTTCATGTTTAAAAATAATACAGATATTTAGTCCTAATTAGCCTTCCATTAACAGTATAATTCAAATTTAAACCAAAATAATGAGTATCAGATAGCAAAAATATATATATAAATCAAAAGTAGATGTAGTCTGAGGAATTAAACTCTGCACAGTGTTACTATATTACACTATGTTATTACTAATGCATTAAATAATAAGAATAATTTTAAATCTTTTTAGTAATTCAACAATTATGTAAATTAGTCTATCAGATGTTTAGTACTAGAAGTTATTAGTTGTCAGATAAAGTGGAGTAAAATGTAAATCATGTTTTGTGGAATTGTAGTGGACAACAAAGTCTTATGTATTTAGGTATTGACATTTAGTTCTACCTCTCTTCTTTCGCCAAGTGCAATATAGCAGTCTTAAAATCCTTCCCTGTTTTTGCCAAATCCCACAATGAATCAAGCAATGGGAATTTTGTTTTTGTCTGTTTTTATGAGAGATTCGAATCAGTAACTCAAGGGATGAAAATTCTGATAATCGCTGACGTAAAAACTGGCAGTGCAGGTGTTGTTGTGCCAGGTTCAGTGTCCTCTGGGGTGAGAATAGCATGTGTGCATGCTTACGCGTGTGTGTACAGCTCGCTAATCTCTCTAACTGCATATCCAGCTGTAAACATTTTCTCACCAAATTCTTCTATTTGTTTTCATAGTTGTCTATGTTTGTACTAAAAAACGCTGTGTTCGGGCTGTGTGTGTTTTCATATGTGTGAACACCTCTGCTTGAGGCTGTCACACCCTGTAATCCTCTCCACGCTGATCTAGAAACAGTCGTTATGTTAAGCACGTAATGAGTATTATTACAGTTACGGGGCACAGTAATTGAGCCTCAACCAGCCATCAAGTACAGCTCGTAAGAATCAGTCACTGCGGTAAACAGCATCACACACACAGCACTGTCTGAATGGATGTGTGAATATGTGGTAGAAGATAGACAGACAGAAATAATAATGTGGAACTGCATTAAAGAGCTGCAATTAATGATAATCTACATTATTAATTACTGTAGTAAAAATATTGTACCAAAAAGATTGTACCACTTGAAATAGTGGTGGAAGTACTCAGATCTTTCATTAGCCTACGGTAAAAGTGGCATCACCAAAGCATAGACCATATAAAATAATGGACGCATATCCATCATAGCATCACCCATGGGTGATTGGACTCCCATTCTGAAGCCTCAAGTTTGGCATTTTGGCTGTTGCCATCTTAGATTTTTGGAGCCAAAAGTGTCCATATTTGGATTTGTGGCGTGTGGAGATAACCCTAATGCTAGCTGCTAGCTTGGTTAGCACAGTGCATTAACAGCAAACTGTGATAAAGCTAATGCTAATTTTCACTAGCGAAAAACAGGTTTAAAACTATCAAAACTAAATATACTCATCATAAGAAAACTGCCAACTTTTTGACAGGCATTGTCCACCTGTCAATCAAAGTGGCCACGCCTTCAATTTCGCATAACTTTAAGCCTTAATAACATTTAAATGGGAGAGTTACATAAAAATTCATCCGCTTAAGTCGTCATGAATATTGAAATTAGTTAGAGACCAATAAACATGTTTATTTCTGCTGTAAAGTCTGGCATTTTAACATGGAGGTCTATGGAGATTGACTTGCTCTTGGAGTCAGCCTCAAGTGGCCATTCAAGGAACTGCACTTATTGGCACTTCTGCGTTTGCTTCATTTTTCAGCCCCGGAGGTCGTTGCTTCGACCACAGGAGAAATACTCTTTAACAAGTAAAAGTCCTGCATTCAAAATATATCTTATTTTATTTTAATTAACCTTTTTTAACCAGAGAAATCTATTTTTCAAGAGTGTCCTGGCCAAGACAGGAAGCAGTATAAGTTAGAGACAGACAAACATAGAGAAAGTAAGAAAGAAATTAACTAAAGCACCAAGAGTAAAAATAATCATTATGCAGAATTTCAACACTTCAACATTTAATTAATTATTTATCTGAATCTGCAAAGTTACTAGTTATACTTTATATTTTGTGCTTACTTTGTAATGTCAATAAGATAAGAGCTACTGTAACCAGCTGCCACTCTTGTGGCGCCACCTTGATAAAAACTGAACTTTATACACTTTGTGAAGGGTAAAATTTATGGCAGAGCTGTTGTATTGAATTGCAACAGATTGTACAAGTGTACCTAATAAAGTGGCTACTGAATATAAGTCCATTTTTAAACTTTATAAATATTTCCAAGAAAAATTCCCACTTTGTGGCTTTACATTGTGCAGCAAGCTACTGTATATGAAACTGCCTGATGTAAAGTAAAGCTTAAAGTATAATTCTTTGTATTGATAGATGTTTCTCTACAGTGATTATCAGAAGTTGCTGTTTAGTGGAAAGATAGAACAGAGTGAGAAAGATAAAGATACAGTTTTCTCATCCATAACAACCTAAATGGGACTCTGACTCTCCCCCTTACAGCTGTCTGCACTGTAGCAGCTCACTGTTTATATATCTGAAGACACACACACACACACACACACACACTTGGCTGGAGAGCTGCAGCTCAACAGATGAGGCAGCAGTAATGTGGCGCTGTCACTGCGTCATGTCCCGTGCAGTGACAGATAGCGTACACAGAGGGAGTAAAGGTTGAAATTAATGGCAGGGACAAGATGGATAGTTGAGGAGAAGAACGCTTGGAGGGAAAAGTTGCTGTTAGGACATTTTAAATTATTATTATTATATATTTTTTTCCACCTATACACTCAGATTGGAGCAATGAAGCAGTCAGACCTCCTTTACTTGGACTAGCTTGGTGGAGGTTACATAAACTGTGTCAGAAAACAGTGCAACCTCCCTACATCCAAGATGACGTCTTTAACTGTCTTATTTTCTCTGACCAACAGTCCAAATACCAAAAACATTGTTGAAGTATTATGTATGACAAAGAAAATAATCTTTCCAATTTTAGAAGCTAAAAGGAGAGGCAATGTTTCATATTTTTGCCTGTCACATAACTCAGTGGTACCCTGTGGAGTATAAACATACTGGATTGGGATACAGCAGCTGGAAGTTTCTAGGTTAGCAAAATAACTTTTAATCACAAATGGAGCCATAAAAGCAGATTACAGTGATATTAAGTGACTTTAAAGTTCATTTAAGATGAATGAAATCAATGTATTTTGTTGAAGTCAGACTTCCATTCCCTCAAGAATGCCAGTTTTTCTAAAATACTCACATTCTGAGTTTTAGAGGCTTAAAAAGAGACTACACTTGCAGCCTTTACACAATAAAGATCCATTTGGTTTCCAGATTGAAGTGTGCTGTTGGAAATTCCTCCGACACTTGACGTTCCTCCAGAAACGATCTGCTGCATGTCATTGACAAATGATTTATATTTCTGTGGTATTCAGTGTCTCATATTTACCGGAATGGCAACGTCAGGATGAATGATAGAAACTGACTCGTCTGTTCTGTTGGCTTCTTCTTCTCCTGACATCCATCTTAAAATGGTCTTTCCATTTTCTCCTGTCAGTGATTCATTCTGGGTATCTCTTTTCTTTCTCTACTCTAGCATTATGACAGAATGTTTTTTTTTCTCCATTTAAAGCTGCACCAATCAATACAGAGTGATGGAGATATATCGACCATAGAGATGTCTGCCTTCTTTTCCAATCTGTTATAATTGAACTAGATGGCACTCAGCTTGTGTTGCTCAAAGCACCAAAACAATACTTTTAAAAAACTCAATAGCAATGTCTCTTTCCATAAATCACGACCTGGTTACTTAAAGGGAAATTTCGGTTTATTTCAACCTGTCTCCTATCATCCTAAATTTGGTTCAAGTGACTAGTGACATACAGATAATAGTTAGCATGTTAGCCGTTAGCCTAGATACAGCCGTAGCGTCAGACCTGTTAAAACGTAAGTGAACGGGCATCCCTTCAAGTGCAAAGTTAGTCCACTAAACAAGCTTTTTTTCCACAAAGACCGCCTCATATCGTTAGGATAAATGTCAGAGAACATATAGAAAACGACATGTAAACGTGTTGTCTTACCTTACCGGTGTGCTGCCATGTTTGTTTATCCCTCTAGCTCTGCTTTCCAAAGCGCAGCCAAAATGTATCTCGTCAGCTCTAGATAAAGCCCAGCTGGATACTAACGTTACTCCAGGTGGAGGTGTCTCGTCCTCGGTCACATCCAGACCTTGAAAATAAGGCTGCAACCGCTCCCATTCCTTGCAACAGAGGCATTCCTCTTCTGTGGGCACTGGGGCACAGCATTCACAGGTACACCACCAATCTCCAGAGCTACGCAGCCTTGCAGCAGCCATTCCTCCTCTCTCGTCCTCTAACGTTACCTGTTGCGCCTCTCTCTCTTCTCCTCCTCCTCCGTTCAGGCGACCGTCCGGTTCTGCCTTCCAGCTGTTGCTGCTTGTTCAGGCACGCTATGAGATCGTTGCTTGTTCTTGCGATATTTTGGCCGCGCTTTGTGTCTTTGTCTTTGTGGAAAAAAAGCTTGTTTAGTGGACTAACTTTGCACTTGAAGGGATGCCCGTTCACTTACGTTTTAACAGGTCTGACGCTACTGTGCACCCCGGCTGTATCTAGGCTAACGGCTAAGATGCTAACTATTATCTGTATGTCACTAGTCACTTGAACCAAATTTAGGACGATAGGAGACGGGTTGAAATAAACCGAAATTTCCCTTTAAGATAATCCACAGACCTTGTTGTGAGCACTTTCGTGTAGGAACTTTTTTCTTACTTACAAACTACACCAACCAACTGTAACATGGCACAGAAGGAAGTGTGCACCTGCTCATGGTCGAGAGGCTCTTGGTCGGGACAGCAAGAGATGTCAACATTAATGGCGTCCATCTCGGCTGAGCTGTAAAGTTAGTTAGCTCAGCGGTGCTAAGAGATATCCTTGCTTATAACTATGTTGTGTGTACATGACAGCTGCCACGTGTCACCTGCGTCCGTACACGCTCTGAAATAAATGCAACGTGTCTGCAAGATAAAATACATGTATGAAAGGTCGGGGCAGTGTTGGCAGAAGAGAAAGGAGCTCACTACTGGCAAGATCTACTCTAGATATACCATCCATGCTGATCTCAGAATTAACAATACAGTAACTCCTCGAGTATTACCAAGTTTATCGTTTACATTATGCAAATCAGGAAGTTCTATATGGTCCAAGACCTTTGGTGTGCCATCTATTGTAACAACCGTCGTACATTGTAGGGGTGTAAATCACCAGTTTCATCATGATACAATATTTTATGGATTCGTTGGACAACAATACGATATTTGCCAATATCACAAAGCCTGCCACAATACAATTTTGATTCGATGTGATTCTGGCACCTTTTTTATTTTAGGGTGTCCCTTTAAGTAATTGCTTGTAGTGATGAACTAAGACAGATACATACAGCTCCCCTCAACTGTTGCAGCAAAAGTACAGAAATATTATAATCAGAATGTACATAAAGTATTAAAAGTAAAAGTAACTATATAGCTAGTTTTAATTACATTATATGAAGTTAGGTAGTTTCGTCCAGTGGTTCCCAACCTTGGAGTCGGGCCCTTCCAAAGAGTCATAAATCTGACGAGTCATGAGATAAATTTCTGCTACTCAAATCTAAAAAGTTATTTAAATTAAACTACTGTTAAATAAACGTAGTGGAGCAGAAGTACGATATATTTCTGTGAAAGTGAATTTTAAGTACATGTACCTCAAAATTGTCCTTAAGTAAAAGTACTTAGTTACCCCCCCCCCCCCCCCCCCCCCCCCCCCCCCCCCCCCCCCCCCCCCCCCCCCCCCCCCCCCCCCCCCCCCCCCCCCCCCACAGGGCGGTCTGTCAGTAGACTCCATCTCCGACCTCGTAGAGAGCCAGTCTCGCCTGCTGGAGGCGCTGCAGCTCTCCCACCCGGCCGAGCTGGAGCTGAAGAAGTCACCAGGTGGCAGCAGCTCATCAGAGAAAAGGACCCAGACCAAGCTCAGCCTCAACCCCATCTACAGACAGGTGCCCCGGGTGGTGGAGAGGTGCTGCAATCACATCGAGACCTACGGTGAGACACAGACTATATCACAATTGTGCCATTTGGGGTCCCTAAATGTAACAAACTCTTTGAACTTGAAGCCACTGTAGACATCTGGGTTAAAGAACATTCATTAATGCATCCACACTGAAGCCTGAGAGTCCATACATGCAATTTGATGAGACTATTTGTTGCTCCATTTTGTGTCCCCAGGTCTTCAGACTGTGGGAATTTTCCGAGTTGGTAGCTCCAAGAAGAGAGTGAGACAGGTGAGGATGTTTTCTGTTCATCCACATCCTTTTTTGTTATTTTAACCACATAAAAAACAATCTGGATAAAATGTTGTTTGTCTTAGGACTCCCTAAAACTGCCCTATATAATGCTACTCATACTCAGACCCGTGCTTCCTGTCAATCTTCACTATGCACTGGAAAGAAAAAAAACGATCTTCAAGTGAAAAGCTGATGATGTGTGATATCCTGTTTTGGAGAAATTGTGCCTACTGGGGGAAATTGACTCCCGTTTAACCTCTGTGTTTGTTTTTGTCTTTTCCTATGTGTCTCTTCACTTTTTAATTTCTATCTTGGGGTTCATTTGTCTTCTCTGTGTGCTCCTCAGCTGCTTGAGGACTTTGACATGGGGGTGGACGTCCAATTAGATGAGGAGCAAAGCGTCCATGACGTGGCAGCGCTGCTCAAAGAGTTTCTCAGAGACATCCCTGATCCTCTGCTGACCAGAGAGCTCTACCCGGCCTTCCTGCACGCCACCTGTAAGCACACACACTCGCAGGCATAGTGTAAACAGCAGAAACAGCTCCAAATCAAACTAAATCTTGTGTGTGCCTCCTGTAGTGCTGAGGGGAGCGGACCAGCTTCAGTACCTACAGCACCTCCTCTACCTTCTGCCTCCCTGTAACTGCGACACTCTGCTGCGACTCCTCAGCCTGTTACACACAGTGCAGAGCTTCGCCCAGGACAGCATAGGAACAAATGACGAGGAGGTAGGGCTGCTGACTGCTCATGATGAAAGACAAATGTCATACAATACACATCAGAGGGTCTAACAATAACATGCTATTTAGTTGCATCATGGGAAGTGTAGGATCACGCTGTCTTTTAAGAGCTTTACTTAAACTAGGAACAAACAAAAGTCAGGATATCTTGGTTTATGCTGCACTGATTCTGATCATTTCTTATCTTGCTTTTTGTCTTGTGCACTAAAAACATGGAAGATCTGCAGTTTTAGAATTTCCCAAAAGCACTTCAGAATCAGAAACATCTTTATTGCCAAGAAAGTTTTCACACATAAGAAATTTGCCTTGGTCTTTTGATTCAGAACAGAAAAAACAAGTATTCTAAATTATAAATAGAAAACAGAAATTACAAATGTGCTTCTGAAAATTTACAGTAATTTAAAGTTTTGTCATTGATATCCCAAACATGAAAATATTATTGCTATGGTACTTTAACACCATATAAACTCTAATGCTAGTCTTAGTCCTATTTTTTGTTTTGGTAGTTTTCAAACAAACTTTGTCTTTTAATCTTATTAATCAAAACACATTTGCGAAAGTACAATATTTCTACAAACCGCAAGCAGCCATGGCTGGAGACATTGCGTTTTTAGGGACATACATACGTCCCATTCTCCTGAAAGCAACATCTCAATACCACCTCAAATATGGTGCAAATGTCCACTTAGCCTCAACGACAAACTGTTTAGATTTTGAGGATCATAAGTCAAAGGCCAAGGTCATTGTGATCTCATCTGTCTCATTATCGTGAACAGGATTTCCCAAGAATGGCCGGAGGGAATTTTTTTTAAAATTTGGCACAAACTTTTTCGCTCAGACTCAAGGATGAACTGGATAGATTTGGTGGTTAAAGGTCAAAAGTCAAGTGTTTCTTCACATTTGGCACAAACATCCACTTTGAGTCAAGTATGAACTGGTGTTAAGGTTCAAGGTCACTGTGATCCCATCCGTCACATTCTCGCAATGTAACATCTCAAGAACATCTGGAGGGAATTCTTCGAATTTGGTACAAACGTCTACTTGGACCCAAGGATGAACTGATTAGACTCTGGTGGTCTGTTGTCAAAGCTATGACTTTGCATCACTCTCTGTCTCATTTTATAAATTTTGTGATATTTCAAGGAGGCTTTCAGGACATTTCCTCAAATTGGACTCAAACGTCCACTTGGACTTAACAATGAACTGATTAGAATTTGGTGGTCCAAGGTCAAGATCACTGTGACCTTACAAAACATGTTTTTTGGCCATAATTCAGGAATTCATATGCACACTATGACAACATTTCACACAAATGTCAAAAAGGATACAATGATGACATTTTATATTCAAAAGGTAAAAGGTCAACTTCACTGTGACATCATATTATTCTGCATAAAACACTTGGCTGTTACTTAACATTAGTGATGGCCAAATGAAGCCTCATGAACCACTTTATGTATTTTCTGACCCCACCAGATGGCGCTCTTGGTTTAAAGATAAAGGCTGAAGGACTTGAAATGAAGTGTGCTTTCAAACCTTTGTTGAACAGACAGTGCCATCTGGTGGCTTCAGAAAATAAAGACAGTGGTTCATGAGGCCTCATTTGGCCATCACTACTTAACGTCATATCTCAGGAACGGAAGGAGAGACATTTGGTCAGATATTGAATCAGTGACTCTAGTCTTGGGTGCCCACTTTGAAACTGTGCTGATTGTATAGATTGTCTGTGCTGCCAGGGGGCAACTTAGAGTGGAAAAACTGTCTGGTATTTAACAAGAAAAATAGGAAAGGAAAAGTCAACAATAAATTAAATTTCAAGATAAAAGTAATTTATAGCAGAAACATATTTCCTTCTTGCCTGTCCTTTTAAACATCCATTTACCACAGAGATTGTGACCACTGGTTGAGAGCAATTAAAAACATAACTCAAATGAACACCTGTCCTTCCTCCTCTCTCCATCCAGATCCCTGGCAACAAAATGACAGCTGCGAACCTGGCGGTGATCTTTGGGCCCAACCTGCTGCAAAGGGAAAGAGGAGGAGATATGAGTCCTCACGCAATGGGGATTGAGGACAGCACTGCAATCATCAATGTGACCCTGGTGCTCATACAGAACTACAAGAGGCTCTTCACAGTACGTCGATGTAGCCTTCAATTGTAACTTTTTTCTGGTGTCTTTTAGAAAACTAGTACCAGAGATGTTATCAGTATTAAAGGGTTTATTGGTGTATTTTAATGCAGATAGAGTTGGTTTCATAAGATGAGTCTTTGAGATATTTGCCTCTTAACCTCGGTACAATCGAAATGAATGTATAATTAAGTTTGTGGTGCTCCAAGAACTGAAAAAGTCAACTTTTTATTGGGAGTTCTTTGAATAAACAAACGATCCTCTCAAGATCCAGTCCAAACCTTTAATATGTGTGATCCAGGTTTCTGCAGAGCTGCAGCAGGAGGTCCTGATGAGTCTGATCCAGACAGACCCAGACATCATCGACTATCTGCTGCGTAGGAAACTCAGGTAACCATGACAACCAGTTAGTCAATCAAGTCCCTAAGAGTATCAGATCTACTGTCTTTTTTAAGTGTGGCAATTTTTGAGGGTTTAAACAAACTACTGATGCTACATTATATTTTCATCCCTTCTTATAGCGGCAGTCACCTGACAGTGGAGAGCAGCAGTGAGTCAGGAGGTCGTCGGGATACAGGGGCGTCTTTGGACTCTGTGGGAGCGTCTAGTGGGAGTTTGTCTCCGCTGGAGCCTCCATCACCACTTTTCCCACCCGATGGCAGCGGTGGTGAGGGCAGCCTGACGAGCGAGGTCTTCCTCAACGTTCTCAAACTGAACCAGAACAGGAAGCGTCAGGAAGCAAGATACGGTACGGTGCTGTTGATATCCATTATTTTTTCTAGACTTTGTGCCCTTTGAATTATATTTATTATTATCATTATTTCTGAAAATCCTGAGGCTACAAATAATCTTGCTCAGGGTCTAATTTATTTATTTATTATAGACATCAGTCTACATACAGTGACTGATGCATTTATCTGTTGTTTAACTATATTAAAGCATCTCTAAGAAGCATCTCTAAAATTAAATGTATATGTTTGATTAAAAAAAATGGCCCACACACCAAGTATTTGGCCTTAATGTGTTATAACACAAGTGTGCCGGGATGATAAATGTGCCCACAGCACCACCTAGTGGTGACAGATAGAGAGTTGGAGAGACTGTAACAAGAGCATCAAGTTCTGATGGAGTAAATAAATGACAAATATCACACAATTTCCTCCTGCAAAACTGACCATATTTTGCTTGTATCATAGTCCTTTGTTTTTCCCAGTTTGTGTGGAACTTCAATCTTGAAATTTAAAGTTTTAAATGAGTCATCTACTTTTTAAAATAATATATAAAGGGATCAAGAGGCTTGCTCGAGGATCAATTTCTCAGCATCTTTTCCATTTAGAAATGGTCGTACCTTAGATATGTTTCTGGGATGAAAAAATAATGTCGTGAACATCAAGGAAGGGCCATGTGCACCCCCACTCCCCCATCCCCAAACCGAAACCTGAACCTCTTGACAACATTACTGGTTTGAACCCCGTCCTCTTGTCAATCCTCCAGGTGACGCCCCTTCAGGTAAATCCATCAGCCACATGCGTCAGTTCCACTCCCACCACAACCTGCTCAGCCTGGCGCAGCCCTCCTTGTCCTCCAGAGGCCACGGTCAGGAACACGACTCCCAGGACCGCAGCAGGGGCCCGCTGGGCTCTGCACTGAGCTTCACTCTGGCAGGCGTCAGCAGTGGCAGCTGCTCCAGTCTGACCGGATCGACAGAGAACAGTATCTGGGTGAGACAGACGCCGCAGGAGGAGAGCAAACCGTCACCGGCCTCTAATTTCTGGGACTTCTTTACGGGGAAAGGGTCAAGCTCAGAGACGATGGTATGATGAAGGGTGAGAAGAGGAGAAACATGAAGGGAAGGAGTGTGTGTGAGTGTGTGCTTGTGCTGATGCTGTCAGAGGTCAGAAATCCCCCCAAAAAGTCATCGGATTTCCTGTTACATTTGCAACAGGCACATGTGCTGATTTAAAAGGATGTTAAGATTAGTGATGGCCAAATGAAGCCTCATGAACCACTTTCTGTATTTTCTGACCCCACCAGATGGCACTCTTGGTTTAAAGATAAAGGCTAAAGGACTTGAAATGAAGTGTGCTTTCAAACCTTTGTTGAACAGACAGCGCCATCTGGTGGCTTCAGAAAATAAAGACAGTGGTTCATGAGGCCTCATTTGGCCATCACTACTTAAGATCCAATAATATTAAAAATCTAAAAGTGTATTTCTAGTGATACAGAAGTGATAACATAAATCCTCTGCAGCACTTCCATGCTCCTAATATCTCCACTGAATTCTCAATAACCTACCTGACCTTACGACGTTAAGGGAGCATGTTGTTGCAGATTTACCCTGATGGAAGTTGGAATTTCCCACTTTTCTGGCATCTCTGGAACGCAGCACATGTATGAATGTATAGTTGGGACACAGAAGAGGAAGGACATTTTGGAAAAACACATCAAAAACTTTTTTCTTTTTTTAAAAAGACATTGGATTTGTGACAGAAATTGTTGCAAACTTTTAAGCGCGGCTCACTCTGACTGACCTGGACAAAAGTAAATGAAGGAAACAAGACTGACAAACTGTGTTTATGAGATTATATGAAAGTGGATGCAGTAATAATTGTGATGTACATATTGTGTACATGATGTATTCATAATTTTACACACACAACTCTTGTCTTTACTGCGTAGAACTGTGTTACTATGTGTAGCTGCATGGACTCTACTAACACTTCTTTATCCGATACCTATACTGATATCATACCAGACTCCCTTTGTTTTTTGTTGTTTTCCTGTAACCTGCTATAAGCTACATTCACTATCAATGTAATGTACAATTCAGCTATCTAACATTCAGCTAGCATCCAAAACATCTTACGATGACTCTGCAAAACAAAAAATAAACATATTAAAGCCAGAACTTTGCTAAATTTATTTATAGATAGACATCAGTTAAGTTTATTTTAACAGCATTTACGTTGCTGTATTTTAACATGTGGTAATGTCATTTATATTGAAATACAGTCAGTAAAATGGAGTTGAAATAACAGTCATACATAAACTAGATGTCTACAGGGGTTTAAGGTTTATACCAAAGTCATCTGTTTTAAGGAGAAATATTTTGACCTGCAAACCACCACATCACTGCTTATTAAGAAAGTGCATCTATGTTAGTTTAAGCTAACAATTATTTTCATTATCAGTCAATTTATCAATTTATTGTTTCAAAAAATTTGGAAAATGAAAAAAAATTTGCTTTATAAATGACTAATTAACAATCAATTATCAATAGTTTATCAACTGATGGGCATTTAATCTGTTTTTGACACACATGTAAACTTGCTCATCGTCGACAAACAAGACAATCTAGTCAAACACTAAATCGGGTGTGTACAGGCACTGTTTGTCATCTCTCAAAATTTAAAATTTCATTGTTAACATCAGGACATTCCCCTCAAAGAGCCCACAAAGTGTTAAATACCTTATCTTCGTGGTTCCCAACTGGTGGGTTGCAGTCCAAAAATGGGTCGTGGGTCCATTCTGAATGGACCCCAGGTGACCTTGAACTAATGACTAAGGGGAAATCTGGACCCTGTGGCTGGACCAGTTGGGAAACCCTGCCTTATATATCATATGTAGACAATTTTATAACGCCTGAGTTTAAAGCACAGTACCATGTTTGCTGTATTTTAAGGAGCTCTGCAACAGGACATATTCACTCCAGATATATGGACTTTGGAGAATCCAGACAAAGAATTTGGACACAACAGTTATGATGGAAACACGTTGATACACTTATCAATCACTTAAAAACACAGATGTTCACCAGCTGAACTGCGGGACAAATTTCTGAGCACACAAACAGCTGCACATTCCATTATGCACTGATGTGGTGATTTGCAACCAAGTCAAAATATCAAACCTGGGCCAGAGTTGGTTGATATGTTAATGTTTTATGTCTGGGTCAGACGTTTCGCATCACCTTGTCTCCTAGGGCTTCAGTACAGTGACTTCTTATTTTGAGTTCAAACCTCCAGACTTCTTGGCATTTCAAAGAGGTCAGATGCTGCATTCATATCTTATGAGAGTCAAAGTAACGACCTTTTCCGTCTTTCAGTTGCAACTATGTCAAAATTCAAGTCCAGATTGCAATGGGATATTCAAATTTTTCTGAAAGATCCCAATATATCTGATTTAACCCTTTAAAACCTGAACAACTTGACTTGATTTCTTTTAAAACATGGGAAGAAGGCGATGAGCAATGAAAGGAAAAACGACCCAAAAAAAATTAGAAAAAATATGAAGAAATTAGTAAAAAGAGAAAATAAAAAGAGTGCTTAAAAATTATAATAATTCTATGAGATAATTTTAGAATTTAAAAATAATTATAAATATAGTTTTCCCTAGCTTTTTCCTTTTCCCCTATTTTTAAGAAAATAATTTTCTAAATTCTAAATTTTTTTGCAATTTGTGGGACATTTCTCACCAAGTTGATCATTACCTTTTTTTCCCGTGTTTTCAAAAGAAATGGCACCAATTTGCGCAGGGTTCAAAGGTTTAAATCCTTGCGAAAGGCAACTGAAAACAGCACAAAAAAGTGATGTCGCTCCAGGTTTCAAAAGGTTGATGAATCTAGTTCTATACTGTCAGTGCACAGTGTGTTAAACCCTAACATGGTAAACTTTACAATCAAATTTTTAGCATTTCTACTATGAATTCAATATAATGTGACTGCGACGTAAACCTGTTCAGTATTCCACAATGTAAATGCAATAATAAAAAATTAAATTAAAAAAAAATAATGTAATTTTCTCGAGTAGAACTTGTTTATGCCTCAAAGAAATAAAGGTCTTTCATTGTTTAAAGTGCTCTGAAACATTTAAAATTGAACATCCACAATTACAAACTGCAAACTGTGCAATTCCACCTGCTTTGGAAGATAGCATTGTATGGTTGAAACTAAATTTGACCTTTTGTTACCAAGGTCAAGAATGAATAATTTCTTGTCAAGCCAGTCATCTTGGGGACCTTTGATCTAGGCTGTTCCAACAACTTTCCAATACCCATATTTCAGTGTAAAGCAGTACTTGAAATACTGTTGAAACAATAGCTATATATCTAAAAACCTTTAACTTGTCAACCAAATTTTGCCCTGGACGTCTAGACATCTCTCCACCTGAATCTGAACACCTTTAACGAAATGTGGAGGCATGAATATCTGTTTGTCATATTGTCATAGAATGTAGTTGCCCTTCTGTAACCACAGGAGGGCGACATTCTCCACATAAGTGCAACCTTTAACTCTCTCATTGCGTTTCCTATCATCCACAGACTCATATAATGTTGGTCAGATATATAGATTAAATGTATTAGGTTTGGGGAGTAGTTCCACACAACTAGAAACTAAAGATGTTTTTGTTTTTTGGCCTCATTGTTGTAGAAATCCATGTTTCCATTGTACAGAGCTGTTCCTACATCCTCCTACATTGTATTTCTTAACCACAAATGCAGAAGTCGTACTGAGTCCGTCCTTCACCTCTGCAGGTGGATTTATCATCTTCTCTTTTGGATTCCTTTAGGAGAAAACAAGATGTATTGTCTTTTTGTCTGTTTTTCCTATATTGCTGTAAAATCCATCAAGACCTAAACCAGAGAATGTACCACATACCTGCAGAAAATTAAATGTCAAACTGCCTCTCCGTGTCATTGTTTATTGTGTAATGTGCCAGGAGAGAAAATGGATAAATGTTCTGAGATAGTGCGCTGAACAGAATAATCAGTTTTTAGGAGTTTTGGGTGAGACTTTTGGCAGCACAGAAAGCATTTAAAAAGCAATAATGTGAGTCAGGAGATAAGAAAGCCCTCGGAGTGAAGATGATCTCACACTGAATTTGCAAACGGAGAGCTTTCTCATCCTGCTGCGAATTTGGATTTCTTCCATTTAGATGCTGCAGTTGTTTTTCAAAACTTACGGCAGTTATTGAAGTTGACATGCCAAACTGCAAGAGACCAGAAGCCTCTCCATGCTTGGCATATGGTAAAAATGCAAAGTCATACGTCTGTATAATAGTCTGTGATATGGACCCTCGTTTTCAGTCTCTTTAAATGTATTTAGCATCATTTACCTTAGAGCAGGAAACCTGAGTATTTCAAGACCGGAGACAACATCCCCTCAGAATTCTCCACTGGTAAGTTCACACTGTGTCTACGTTAACTCAAAGCAGTAGCTCAACACTATTTTGCTTGTGACCCCTTAAAATGAAGTAAAGTTTATACATTGTTTTAACTTAAGAGATTTTAAAGGAACTAATTTGTAGCTTTTCTAGTATTTAACTAGAAGACAACAAGTATAGAGAAAAGTGAGAAAAAAATATATAAAAATTGTGTGATTTCGATTATTATTTTTGACAGCAGTTTACAAAGCAAAACATAAAACATGATAAGCAAAGAAATTTCTCCTGCTGTTCAATTTTTTTCACAATTTTAAGAACTTTGTAGAACATTTTGGCAGAGATTAAGTGTACATATAAGAGCCACATGTCAGGGAGACTTTAGAAGGGATGAAGGAGACAGAAGAAAAAAAAAGATAGAATAGCAGTCAATGAGGTTTGCTTGACTAAACATCAGGAAGGCATTTTTGATTTACACATAGCATACTATGACATTTTCATATGTTTTAGGAAATGTTAAACTGACTCACATCATGATGTGACACATGATTTTTCATAATTTTTGACGACATACTATACTATGACTTTGTTTTCATGGTGTTGAGGACATGCTATACTAACATGTTTTTTCAAGGATTTGGACGACATACAGGGCTAGGACTACTTTTTCACATTTTTGGCAACATACTTAACTTTGATGTTTTTTCATGATTTTGGTAGTACTACTATACTATACCAGGGGTAGGCAACCTGAGGTTTCGGAGCCACATGTGGCTCTTTAGCACCTCTCCAGTGGCTCCTTGACAAAAGAAAATACATGGAAATGAGTAATGTTTATGTTTTTTAACATTTTATTTTTTATATATCAGTGTTGTAGGCCTAAAGAAAGTCCTGCATTCTCCAATTGTAAAACTGTGAAGCCTCCAAACCAAATGAAAATAACTAAAATGTGTGTAACACATCTACTGCCTGGCACCTTTGCCTTGAAATTGTGCCAAACCTCCACAGCAGAGGCTCGTCTTGAGTCCTAGCCGGTTAGCTATGGATGCCAGATCAAAAAAGTAAAAGTCTCAGAATATAATAGAGAATTTAGTAGTGTGCGGACAGATTTGTTTGCTTCCACCGCCAGCTCTGCAAAGATAAAGTACCAAATAATCATAAACAGTGCCCTGTAGAGTCGTTACCTTGTGGTAAGACATGAATGAATGATCATTTAGACTAGTAGTATAGGCTAATTTGGACTTAATGGGCCTTTTTACCTTCATTAAAAGTCTCAAATATATTTTGTGGCTCCACACAGATTTTTGAAAATTATTTTTGGTCAGAAATGACTCTTATGATAGTAAAGGTTGCCGACCCCTGTACTATACTATGACTTGTTCTCATGGTTTTTGACAAGATACTATACTATGACTTTTTTTCATGATTTATTTCGACAAACTATACCATGATCATTTTCAGTGATTACTGAAGACATATTATACTGTGACTATTTTTCAGCGTTGTGGACGACATGCTATACTATGACCTTTTAATGCAATTTTGAGCAACATACTATACTATGATGTTTTTATGCCATTTTGAGCAACATGCTATACTATGACTTTTTTATGCAATTTTGAACAACATGCTATACTTTGACTTTTTTATGCAATTTTAAACGACATGCTATACTATGACTTTTTTATGCAATTTTAAACGACATACTATACTATGACTTTTTTATGCAATTTTAAACAACATACTATACTATGACTTTTTTATGCAATTTTAAACGACATGCTATACTATGACCTTTTCATGCATTTTTAAATGACATGCTATACTATGACGGTTTTATGCAATCTTAAATGACATGCTATACTATGACTTTTTTATGCAATTTTGAACGACATGCTATACTATGACTTTTTCGTGCAATTTTGAACAACATGCTATACTATGACGTTTTTATGTAATTTTAAATAACATACTATACTATGACTTTTTTATGCAATTTGAAACGACGTGCTATACTATGATGTTTTTATGCAATTTTAAACGACATGCTATACTATGACTTTTTTTATGCAATTCCAAACAAGATGCTATACTTTGACGTTTTTATGCATTTTTAAACGACATGCTATACTTTGACTTTTTTATGCAGTTTTGAACAACATGCCATACTATGACCTTTTTATGCATTTTTAAACGACATATTATACTATGACCTTTTTATGCATTTTTAAACGACATATTATACTATGACCTTTTTATGCCATTTTGATCAACATGTTATAGTATGACTATTTTTATGCAATTCTGAACGACATGCTATACTATGACGTTTTTATGCAATTTTGAGCGACATGCTATACTATGACTTATTTTCCTTTCTGACGAAATACTATATGTTTTTTCATTGTTTTTGAAGACAAAAGACTCTATGACTATTTTTCGGTTTTAGAAAACATACTACTGTATACTTTGCCTTTTTTATGATTCATGATGACATACTATGCTATGACATTTTTTCATGATTTTTGACGACATATTATGATTATTTTCATCGTTTTTGACAACATACTATATTATCACTTTCTTTCATGATTTTGGACGACATAGTATACTATAATGTTTTTTCATCCAAAAATCCTTTCATCCTTTTCTGGCACTTTTATGCCATATTATACTATGACTTTTTATGTCACTTGTACGACATACTATACTATTCCTTTTCTTTTGCACTTTTAAGTCATACTATCCTAATACTGTTTTATTGTACTTTTATGATATACCATACTATGACTTTGTTATGGCACTTTTATGATATACTATGCTATTACTTTATTCTGACACTTTTACGACATACTATACAATGTCTTTTTATGGCACTTTCAGGACATACACTAATTTTTTATGGCACTTGTTTCCACATACCAAACTAAGCCTTTTCTTCCCTTACTCTTGACGACATACCATAGTAAGTCTTTTTATGGCACTTTTACGACATACTATACTATGACATTTCATATCAATTTTTACAGCATACTATAGTATGACTTTTTTCTTTTGGTCTTTTTTGCAACATGCTACACTATGATTTATATGGCTGTTTTTACAAACAATTATTATTATTATTATTATTATTATTATTATTCTTTTACATTATAAGAAATAATATTATGAAACCTGTCCTTTTCTATTACAAACTATACTGTGACACTTTAAATACTGTGATCATAGTTAATATGAAAATTTGTCCTTTCAACTAAACTGAAATCCTTCCTCATCAATATGTCAACCATAAACTGAATACTTAGATAAAACAAAGAAGACAGTCCAGATCATTCCATCTTAAAAACCAGTTTGTTTTATTTCAAACAGTTTGGACACCATCAGAACCAGCCGTCATTCCCAAACTTCACTGCATCTACATGTATTCAGAATGAACTTCAGACAGCAGTATGTGCAGCAGCAGCCTCGGCAAACACTCACAACTCAAGAGAATGATTCAATTGTTTGTCCTTCAGATCTGTCTGTAGCTGGAACTGAGAAGCCCCAGACTGTGCAGTTTCATGGCCAATTAAATGTCTGCTGCAAAAACCAGCTAAAACATTTCTGTGTCTCAGACTGGTGCTAAAATAAGAACAGACCGTTCAGAAAAAGACTCTATCACCTTGATTGTTTTTTACCCCCAGTCTTCTGAACTTCAGTCTCAGTCAAGGAGCAGAATACGAACTTCATAATGGAGTATTTTACATAAACTGATGCATAAACACAACTTACTTTTCTAAAAGTTTGAATCCAATGTGCAAAACAATCAAGGAGTCTGAATCTTTTCTGAGCTGTTTGGATCCCAACGCTTTGATAACCATTTGGTTTCTGTCTGTGAGGCTGCTGCCACCTGGCACATGATTTAGTTGCAACATACAATATCAGAGTGTTAATGACACATTCAGTCACTTTTCCCCCATCACAGACTGGGCTCTAAACATTTACATTCTTGGAGAGTCTGAAAAGGGGGAGTGATGTGGACAACCGAAGCCCTAAAGGGACATTTCAGAGGACAGAACAAGTCAAACTGTTAAGGAAAAATCCACTTGCAAATGTCAGTTTTTATTTAATTAGGTGGGACAAAATGTTTCTGCTTTCCCATGATAGCTTTCTTAAAACCTCAGACAAGAATCCATCATTGATTTGTTTGTGTTATTTGACTGTTGAATAGTGGTGTAAAGTCTGATCAGAAACAATGCACTCAAGACTCTGATTGGGTAAATAATCACAACGCTAATTCTCAGTTTAACGTAGCACGAGTGGAGCCGTGTATCAAAGTTAAGTCATTTTTGAGTCTACTACTCAGAGAAATAAAACTTTACACTTAATGCTCGGTCAAATTAATTGCTAATTTTGTACTTTTTGAAGAGTCAATGTCATAATTTTACTTGTAGTACTCCAATTTTGATTTGATTTTTGTTTGTTTGTTTTTTTTGAGAATTTAAAAAAAATAAATAAATAAAATAAAAAAAATCTGATACTGACATATTTGCTGATATGTGTTCAGTGGAACATTTTACAATTAAAGGATAAACTCATCTCACCCTACAACTTCAACTTTATTTTGTCCCTAGAGGGCAATTAGTAGCCCTGCAGTCTTTTCGTGTGTGTCATCTACATTTGACAAGTTACTCACAGGAAAAAGTAAAAATCAAATTATAACAGGCTGAGAGAGAAAAAGAACAACTAACCAACAGTTGATTTTTCTTTTCAAGTGTTTTGTACTCTAAAGTGGATTTTTCCTTTAACACAGTAATACACAGAACAGTTTTTGGTCAGTTACTTTCTGCACAGCAGTTTCTTGTACGGGAACTTCTTCAAAATAAGTGTATGTGAGTAAAATCAGTCAGTTTTCTGTGCACTATAATGTGATCAGTCAGATTACATATGAGCTCACTTTGGGGCTGTTTGGTTTAGGCTGCCTGGGACGCCAGATGGGTGGGGCTTGTTACTTTCTGAGTACCAGGCGTGTTGGTTCGTTACCAGAATAAAAGTATTTTGAGACATAACATCCATTAACATTTTTGATCTAGGTCTGCTGATTATTTCAAGCAAGCAATTATTTATATTCCAATAATAATATCTGTATTTATGTACACATCAACATCTCTCATCACACACTCCCAAAATTAAACCAAAATAATCTTCAAAATATCCAGAGCTGCCTACACAAGAATGGTAGACTAGTAAAATTAGTGAAATATATCAAAAACAAGTGAAACATCTAGGAAAAAGAAGATAAACATAAACATTCAGAATAATAATAATATTTATAGTATTTAAATTAAAAAAAGAGCCTTGTTTCAACATGGTTTCCAACGCTTTGTCTAGTCAAAAAACTTCAACCGACACATGTACAGTTTTGGTTCCGATAATTTCCATGAAACTGCATTTCATTAAAAAACAGAATCATAACCAGCTCCAAACTGAATCTGTGGACTTTCACCCCCCAGATAACATGCTTTTGTGCTTGTTTTCATTCATTTACACGAGTAAATGGAAAAATTTTCTCAAAATGCTTAAAATATAAACACACCATATATGAAAGTAACTCTTAAAGGAGTCCACAGTTTTTGTTGGTGCCTGGATATAACCCGTAAACTACGATTTCTGACTTTCAGAAATTGCAGAACTGAACCCCAAAAATACAGCACAGCCCGAAAACATCATCCTTCATGTAGGTTAATTGAGCTCAAGAGCAGCACAGACAGGAAATGGAAATAGTGTTGACTTTAAAAACCTGTTGATGAAGTGAAACGTTTGGGACACGTCATCTGAAGTCGCTCTATTTCCGCCTTTCATTTACGGCGTTTTGAAAACTGAGTAAGTTAGATTAAGTAAGTCTAAGTAAGAGAGGTGGGGTACACCTTGGACAGGTCACCAGACTATCACAGGGCTGACACATAGAGACACTCACATTCACACCTATGGACAATTTAGAGTCACCAATTAACCTGCATGTCTTTGGACTGTGGGAGGAAGCTGGAGTACCCGGAGAAAACCCACGCTGACACAGGGAGAACATGCAAACAGAAGGACTCAGGAAAGAGAGCGACTTCAGTTTATCGAGACATACCTGACTCCACATGGTGTTTTTACAGGTCAAGCAGCAGCCCTATTTTTATTTTACTGTACAACTGTATAACATTCAGATAATAACTGACCCACTGCCCAGGGCCACTCAACTACTGTAGAATATAAACACCTTTAAAGACTACACAGAGCATGTTTCCATTCACTTTCCATCTGCTGCAGCTCTGTTACAGACTGACGGGGTGAGCTTGCTTGTTAATCTGAGAGGGCCCAGTTGGGTGAAGCCTCACGAGCTTGGCGGCATTAAAAAACAAGATGAAACAAACAAGAAAAAAAAAAAACATTTGGTTTGTTTGTGCGTTAAAACAACAGAGGTGAAAAACGGAGGCTGTTGCCTATCAGAGGGCTCAAGTTTGGGAGGACGAGTACAGACTTTAAAATGTTTCTCCTTTCCTCAGCACAGTTAAAACCCATTCATTACACTGTTTTTTTTCCTCGGCACCAATACCACTCTTTGCAGTCAATGTCAATGATAAGTTGATGAACAGAAAAATAATTCCGCAACTAGTTCTGACAGTCAGATAATTGTTACCTCACTAAAAAATTCTTTGAAAGTTTATTGGTTACAGCTTCTCAAATGTGAAGATCTGGTGTTTTCTCTGTTTTCTGTCACTGTAAATTGAATATTTTTTTGTTTGTAGGAGAAAATAAGCTATTTAAAATAGCTAATCAATCAATCACAGAAAAAAAAAAATACTGATTCAATCAACGCCAATTAATCGCGTTCCGTCGTGCCCTTTGACCCGGTGCATCATTGAAGGCCACAGTGGCTTTGTCACATGATGGAGGCAGATGAGACGATGCTGCTTGGCCACGTGAATGGAACATTTACATTTAAAAAAAGGCCCAGATGGAACTGTTGATAGGAGCACCATTCTTTGCAGTAAGGAATTTTTGTACCCTCGGTGTACTTAAAGCCTGAAATATCACCTCAATGCAAAGCACTTAGCAGCGAACCCAGAGGTCCGAGCTAGCACAGCCTCTGATGCTAGCGTTAGCAGCTAGCCTCGTCAAGCCTGACTCGACCGGGCGTTCAGACGCTAACTGAGTAAGTCTACCTGTGATCGACTGACTCATAAAAATTCATTAGAATTTATTTAGACAAATTAATCACAGAGCATGTAGTTAATTTGACAGTCCTAATTTATAAAACATCCCCTTTGGTCTGAGAAGATAAAATTCGCATTTTTTTAGTTTTCTGAAATTTTATTGACTAATTATGTTGAACAAACAGCAATAATGAAAACAATTGTCAGTTGTAGCCCTATTAGATTACATTTAATCTCTTCAGGAGCATATTTGTAGATCTGTGATTAATAATAATGCCAACTGTTATTACCATTAAATTACTTCACAATCTACTGAAATATCTTGTAAGAAACCTCAAGGAGCAGATAAAACTTTTGCATCCCATTTTTTCTAGTTTTTAGAAGTTGATAAAATGCATTTATGATATGGCTGCTACTAATAATTATTTTCATTATTCCTCATTGATTTTTTTATTAAAGGATTTAAAATTTTCAAAGAAAATTCCAATAGCAAAAGAAGACTTTCAGTTTTTTGTGTGTCGGACAATTGAAAAAGCCCCAAAGGGTTTGATTTACAGTGATGAAAGAAAGAGAAAACCAGCCTCACATTAGAAAAGCTGCCTTTCCTGCGCATTTTCATCTGTTACATTATTTTTTAAGAGAATTAGTCATCATGACATCAAAAGTTATTACCATCCTGGTCTCTTTCCTGTTGTGCTGAATTAGATTTTAAAAGATACGGAGGTGAGGAATCCATTTTAAACCACTGAGACAAACAGACAGAGACAGTCTCACTGCACTAAATACACCACGTCTTCAACCGGCAGCGGACGCACTCCTCATCAGCAGACCGTTGGCATCTCTCAGCATTACTGAGGGCTTCCAATTTAAGATTCTGGAGTGAAAAACATGTTATGTAAAAAGGTCGGACTGCCTGCCAGAGCTGCAGCTGCAGGAGAAACACTTGAGCCAGAGTCGAAATTTGCCAGCGCGTGCTTAGTGGCTGATATAATGAGGTGCAGTGAACCAGCTGCAGCACGGCAGATGTACGGAGGTGTTGAGAGTTAGCTGTCCAGACATAAAGCTTTGACAAGACGCACAACATGCTAAAGTTCCACCTGTACGTAGTGTGACAGCTTGGACGTCAGTACTGACTTCAAGGAAATAAAAAGTCTCTGTATGTGTCCCTTATAAATGGTACAAATGTGCATATTCTGGCATTTTAAAAAAAAGTCAAAACACAAAACTTTGAAAGCAAACTGCAAAAGGAGGCTGTGCTTATCAAAACCATGGAAAGCATGCTTTAAAAAAAAACGTTAGCTTATGTTGTTTAATGGTGAAACACCTGACCGCCCTTCGCTCAAAACTTGTTCCAACTGTGGCACCAAACATGACCCGTAATGGCACGACACACCAGGAATTTAAAAACTAAAACTTTTGCCAGCCACTTTCACTCATTGCTTTCTGCAACACATCTGGAAGGCTCATTATTTTTATTTTATTTATTTATTATTTTTTGTTTATTAGTATTTATTTAGATGTTTTAAAAGGATTGGAACAAAAAGATTTTGGCTGCAATTTACAGAAAACCTTCTTTCAGTGTAATTAATACAACGGAAGTGCTTAAATCAGATTTATTTTAAATTAATTTAGGATAACTTCTTAGTTAAAAACAAAAATAATGAGTCCCTCTATCAGATGGCTGGTTTTCATTTCATGCTCTGCCTTTAACACTATCTGTTATTAGCACCACTTCATGATACAAACACTGCAAACTAGCAATTGCATCACCGCGCCGCGCTCCGTGCACACGTTCAAGCTCTTCAGTCACCAAAGGTAGTGTCAATGGTTTTGTTATGACAGGTGGGACTTTTTAAAATGGCTGTAAGACATTAGTTTCTCTGTCTCCAGAATTTTCTGGGGGGTGAACACATGATACTTGTGTGTTAGCGTAAAGCTAATTTAGCACGGTATAATATACACAAACACAAAAAAAAAAAGCGCTAAAGAAGACTGTGATGACACTGATGGTTACCGTGACGAGGAGGATTACAATCCTGTGTCTCATCAGAAACAGTTGATTGATTACTCTGCATCGCCTCAACAGCCCCAAACTGCTTTTACCTCCAGAAATGGACCACTGTGCGCCTGGCGATGTCAGCCTCTTGGATTGGTGTTACTCAGTCTTCCCAGCTGATGCCCCAGTGCAAAGCGAGTGTTACAGATTCAGCCATCTTGTTTTTTTGTTAAGGTGCTTTTTAGCAGTGTGGGTTCAGAGGATTTGAACGGTAGTAATCCAGGAGGCTGGCACGCGACCTGCACAAGTCTCTACCGATCCGAGTGGCGCTCCAGTGCAAAGCTCCGCCTGCAGGAAATAAAGCCTGGATACTTATGTGAGCGTACTGGGCGGAGCCGGTGGCAGCCATAAGCGCCTCCCCCTCTGCTGAGTGACAGTCTGTTGGGGATTTGGCTGGTTCAGTCTCTGGACTGGTAGAACAGGATGTATCCTGACTCAGAGTTCTTGGAAATGTCCGATGTCAGACCGTAGAACTCCTCGATCGCCTGCGCGTCGATTTTCTACGAGAGAAGAAGAAACATTGTTAGACTTTGGACACAGACAGCGTAGGGATCTCTGACACAACTTCACCTACTTACAAGGTGCATGAAGAAAGTAAAAAGTCTAGAGAGGTCAAAACTCACAGTTTACAGAACAAACCATTTTGACTTGTGGCCTTCAGCCCAGTGAGTTAATTCATTTGACCTTCTTTGTTCTTAAAAGTAACGACTTCTTTTTTCACATAACATGAGCGTTTTCCTGACAATTCGATGGCAGCTGTGTTGCTGCTCTGTCATGTAGCTCAGCATTAGATTAATGAGCAGGCAGAAGAAGAATACAATGAGTGTTTGGTAAATGGGCTCTGTGATCTCACTGTTGTGTGACACGATGGCTAGTAGCAGCCAGCGTCCCGTCTTTCCAGGGGACAATAGAAAGCATGTTTGGGATGAACAGAGATCTTCCCTGGGATCCATTCGTGACAAAAGAACGCAGTGAGCTCACAACCGTCGCGTTCGAGCAGGCAACCTATTGTTCCCTGATAACGCTACATTGTGAATCTGTGTTAGCGTTAGCTGTTATTAGCTGATGGCCTCAACTCACAGCTCATAGAGGTTGCGCTGAGTTACATAATGATGCATTCAAGTACTGTTCAGTAAAAATGAGTCTTTGGGGAAAGTAAATTATCACGTTCTCATGCTGTGTTCAATGTAATCTTGTAAAATGTAGTTTCTGGTGGGAAGCATGAATAAATACAGTTGTTTCAAGGAGAAATTTGTTGATGTTTTCACAACAATATTAAATATGTGTTAGAAAGGAATTTATGATATATCAAATAGAGTAAAATTGCTTTTGAAACCGTTATTTTAAAAAAAAAAAAGATGATGCCAAATTGTTATTTCAAACATCAGTATCAACCCAGAATTTCAAAACCGGTGCATCCTTGTTCTGAATTATTCCTAACTTCACATGAAAAATAAAGTTACTGCCAAAAGTAATGAGGGTTTGAATGTAAAATATGTAAATTTGTGACCCATATCCATCATGCAATGAAAGTGAATTAAAAAAAGCACGGGAACAGCTGACAATAACTCAACATTTATCATGTATTAGGGAGCCAAAAAGTTTTACCACAAGTTGATATCCTTTTTATATCTTTTTGTCAAGTGACCAGTTTGAGAGAACAGTCATGGACATATCATCAAGATGATTCTAAAGCTTTACTAAAACAATACAAAGAGATACTAGTAGCCATGCTTCACTTTGCTTAACCCATCAGAGAAGCATGATATTCTTGACACATATTTGCAAACAAAAAACACATTTCAGACCTCACCACCTTGGTAAACCTTTTATAAAAATGACCTTAAGTCTTTGTCTGTGTGAGCACAACATAAAATCCTTCCCTTTAGTTAACAGCTGTGCTTTTGAACTTTGTTGTGTAACTGTTTCATGGAGGCTTTTGTTTTTATTTGCTACCGAATCTCCATTTAGAATCGAATATGTTGACAATGAGTATCTTGAGATTTGACCCTGACAACTGTTTCATATTTGGTGTAGCAACTTTGTCCAAAGAGATACAGAGTGGTGTTGAAAACAAATTGCACAAAACATACTTTTGGATGGGTGTTGAAAGAGAACTGGCTGCAGGTTTTTAAAAGTCAGACAGCTTCAATTCCAGGTGGAAAGACCAAAAAAAAAGACAGATAAGCAAAAAGACAGATTTAAGAAAGAGACTGAAGGCTGGAATACAAAGCAGTGAGACAGAGTAAATCTCCACAAACCATAAAAAATGATTTGTTTGTGTTTCTGCTCTGCCAAGTCAGCGGAATCTTCCAGAACTTGGTCAGTTTCTGGACCAGATGTTCATCTGGGCCTCTGTCCCATCATAGTGGAAAAATACACTGGTGATGAGGATCAGTTTTAAACATCAGTCCTTGATGACTCTGACTGAGCAGTTTCCTCTGAATTCAAACAGCAGGGTGACTTCTCCCACTGACGGGGAGATTCAAAGTAAAATAAACCATTTTAATTGGGCCAAGCTAGAACTGTTGCCAAACCGGAGCCATACTCAGACCAAAAAGAGGCAACAAAATTGAAGATTGTAAAGTCTGGGCGCGTATAGAAATGCTTGAAAAAGGAGCATTGCATGTTTTAACCCTTTCACCACAACCACACTGTTGCGTTTTAGACATTTAAATGTATTTTTCTGTTGTTCCAAAACGCCATTGATGTCCATTAATTACTATCTTAGCACTAGCAGGCAAACATGCTTGAATTGTGGGATCACAGTCTACACATAGTCTGTAGTAATTTCTGTCAAAGTTATATCATTGTGATATAAAGCTATTAGTGCTGGGTAATATACTGATACATCAATACTGTGATGTGAGGCTAGATATCATCTTCGATTTTGAATACTGTGACATTGTAAGTGGTTTTAACATTCATTATTGTAAGTGATGTAACTTTCTGAACTTACCAGACTGTTCCAGCTGTTTTCCTTTACACACTTAGTCATTATATCCACATTACTGATGATTACTTATCAGAAATCTCATTGTGTAAATATTGTGAAAGCACCATTAGTCAGCCCTATAATGTCATCACAGTAACAACAGAGGTATTTGATTAAATTATTTTCTCCATATTGGCCAGCTCTAAATGCAGTGCAGAGAGTGTAGATAAGAAATGATGAGCACTTCACTTGCATTACTCAGCAATGATAACATTAATGCAGACTTACTGTAATAGACCAGTCAAGTTTCAAGAGTCTGCTAACTGATTCTTATCACATACAGGAATAATGGAAACTGATGGCTGAGTGGAACAGAAGGAAAATACACAAAACAAATCTTAAACAGTGTATCAGGCGTGTACAATTCAAAAATAGTTAAGAGCTGAAACTTGCAAAATCACTAGCATGGTAATTTAAAAAGGCAATACTAGGAAAGGAATAAAACATGTTTGAAGATATAACAGATCATACTTTACAAATGTTTGAGGACACTGATCTTTATTTACTGTAGTTTGTTTCTTTTGAACGTTACTAAAGAAATTTGTCTTGGCAGAGTAGTTAATTAAGGTTGTCACTGATGGTGGTGATCTACGAAAAGATTAATAACCAACACTTTATTTTACAGGTCTGTAACTTCAGAACAACGTCCTACATTGGTTACAAGAAAGGACTATTTAATTTGGTCTAAATTATAGAGACTATGATCAATTGGTATACTTCAAATTAATTCATTCCAATTCATTGTTAGCAAAGAGCCTTTTTGAGACCGCTAAACATTCAATAATGGAACATTTATCCACAGCTAACAATACAACTTCCAATAATCAGTGAATCATGGATATATGAGAGTTGATTTTTTTTCTTTTTAATAAATTTGTAATTACCCTGTAATTGGTAGCAAATTATGTAGTTCTTTTAGAGAAACATTTTAGGGAATTTTTTGGAAAATATTCTGACATCACAGATCTGAGAAAACAGTTTGTGTGTTTGAAGGCTTTTCTGTCACTTTTTTTTTTAACCTAATCTACCAAGTGGCCGGGGTTTTTGCAAAACACTTCTGCAACCATTATACAACTGTTTGTACGCTTGCCTTAAAATACAGATTATTACTTCAGAAACCCTGGAACATTTTAGGATCATGACTGCAAAGTCGGTTAACCTCTGATAGCTTAATTGCTTTGGCATACAATTCCTTTGCCAAAAAAAAATAAATAAAAAAAATGAAAGGTTACTTGGCTCGAGCTGAAACAAAGCAGCATGTAGAGGGTTTGGATGGATACTGATGTGGTCGACTGCCAGTGACTAAAGAGCTATATTAGGCTAACACTAAAGCTACATATCTGCAGGGTTGGAAATGCAGGTGAGTTTCCCTTCTTGGATTGATACATCATCACATCATTATCACTATCACTTTGCTGCTGTCATGTCACCTACAGTGTGGATGGCAGCATGCTGAGAGGTGAGCTGGGAAACTGTTAGCTGAGTGCCATCACACATGCTAGAAGGATGTCAGAGTGTGTTGTTTCTATGTAGGCTGCCATGTTTTCTTCCTGACACCACATCAGAGCGGAGAACAGATGGTTTTACAGAAGAAACTGCAGGGGATCAGAAATTTCATGGCAACTACTCTAAAATTAAATATTAACATTTTAGTAGCGGATGAGAGAAAGACTAAAATAAGTTGCTTTTTAAGTAGTAGTAAGGTAGGCGATAGTGGAGCAAGTGTAGTAGCATAGTAGAAGTAGTCGTAGAAGTAGTAGAAAATGTAGTAGTAGAAGAGGAGATACTAGTAGTAGCAGAAACACAAACAGAAAATGTTGTAGTCAAACATTTACTAGTAGTACCAACAGAAGAGTAGCAGTAGTAGTTGTAGAAGAACTTGTAGAAGGAGTAGTAGTAGTAGAGTAGTAGTGGTACTAATAGCGGAAAAAGTAGCAGTAGTAGTAGAAGGGAAGGTAGTACAAGAGTAGTGGTAGTAGAAGAAGTAGTAGTAACAGCAGAAGAAAACTCATAGTACTCATAGTAGCAGAAAAAGTAGTACTAGAGGAAAATGTAGAAGGGTAGCAGTAGTGGTATTAGAGGTAGTAGTTGCTGTGGAAGAAGTAGCAATAATAGTAGTAGAAAACTAATAGTAGTAGTAGAGGATGTAGAAGAAGTGGTAGTAATAGTAATTGTGATAGAAGAGTCGTAGTAGTAGCAGAAAAGCAGTAGTAGAAGAAGAAGCAGAGCAGGAGAAAGCAGTAGTAGGAGATAGTAGGAGAGAATAGTAGTAGTAGTTGTAGAGGACATAGCAGTAACAGCAGTTGTAGTAGAAGTAGGAGTAGTGGAACAGGGTATAGCAGAAGTGTAAAGCATAGAAGTAGTAGTAGCAGAATTAGCAGTAGTAGTAGAAGAAGTAGCTGCAGTGGTAGGAGTAGTACTAGTAGTAGAAGAAGAGTAGCAGGAGTAGTAGTGCTAGAAGATGAAGAAGTAGGAATCGTAGAAGAAGAGAAAGTAAAGGGGTAGTAGTAGTAGTACTAGATGTAGTCATAGAGGAAGTAGCAGTAATAGTAGTACAAACATCGTAGTAGTAGTAGTAGAAGATGAGATAGTAGAAGAGTAGCAATCGTAGTAGAAGAAGTAGTTGTAGAGGAAGTGGTAGTAATAGAAGAGTCATAGTAGTAGTAGCAGAAAAGTAGTAGTAGCAGTAGTAGAAGAAGCAGAGTAGTAGAAAGTAGTAGTACAAGAGGAGATAGTAGAAGAGTAGCAGTATTAGCTGTAGAAGAAGCGTAGCAGGAGTAGTCGTAGTCATAGAAGAGGTAGCGGTAATAGAAGTAGTAGCTGTAGAAGAAGAAAAAGTGGAAGGGTAGCAGTAGTCGAAGAAGTAGTCATAGAAGAGGTAGCGGTAATAGTAGTAGAAAAGTCGTAGTAGTAGTAGAAGATGAGATAGTAGAAGAGTAGCAGTAGTAGTAGAAGAAGAAGTCGCAGAGGAAGTGGTGATAGTAATATAAGAGTTGTAGCAGTAGCAGAAAAGTATTGGTAGATGAAGAAACAGAGTAGCAGAAAGTATTGGTAGATGAAGAAACAGAGTAGCAGAAAGTATTGGTAGATGAAGAAACAGAGTAGCAGAAAGTATTGGTAGATGAAGAAACAGAGTAGTAGAAAGTATTAATACAAGAAGAGATAGTAGAAGAGTAGTAGTAGAAGTAGCTGCAGAAGAAGTGGTAGTAACTATAGACGAAGAGCAGCTGCAGCAGTAGAGGTAGTAGTAATAGTAGAAGACGAAGAAGTAGTAGTCGTACAAGAAGAGAAAGTAGAGGGGTAGTAGTAGTACAAGAAGTAGTCGTAGGAGAAGTAGCAGTAACAGTAGTAGAAAAGTCATAGTAGTAGTAAAAGATGAGACAGTGGAAGAGTAGCAGTAGTAGTACAAGAAGAGATAGTAGAAGAGTAGCAGTAGTAGAAGACGTTGTAGTACTAGTAAAAGAAGCTGTAGCAGATAAATAGTAGTAGTAGAAGAAGAAGAAGAAAAAGAAGAAATAATTCCATAACTTGGATGAATAAAGTTTAAAGTAAAAGGACAGCTAAGGCAGGTACGTGCTGAGCATGAGACATGGCGCTGAGAGGGAAAGAGCAAAGACGACAAAGCAGCTAAACATTATTCTCATTCCAGATCTTGTCTACGAGGCTTCGGGCTAATCCTGCACTCTAATCTGACACAGGTATCTACTTCTTTCTGTTTTCTTTTCCCCTCTTATCTTCTTACATTTCTTCTTTATAAATGCTTTCATCCAATCTAATATTGCTCTAATTTTGTCCTGATTGCTAAACAAATTTTAACTCCTCATAATTCAGCAAAGGTTAAGGTATCTAGGTCGGCCCGTCGTAGGAAATCCAGACACAACATAGGGATTGCCAGGATCTACATGGAGTCTGGAAGGAGAGCTATTTGACATTCCTGTCTGGTGAGGAAGAAACTTTGGACAGCTGATGGGTTCATTTATCTTTGATTGATGTTTGAGCAATAAGACAGTTAATTAAGCTTCCTGAGCTTTTATTTTACTTTTACAAAATACCGCTTTTTATACACTGATCTCCTGTTTCTATCAGATTTTTTTTTTGTTTATTTTGAGTTGAGACTAAATACCAAGAAGTACAAAGTTTTTTCTGCCTGTTCTTTTAACCCTTTAAACCATGGCCAAACTGGCCTGATTTCTTTCAAAAACATGGGAAGAAGGCAGCGAGCAACTAAGATATGACCCTAAAAATGTGTAAGAAATAGGTAAAAAGAGAAACTTAAAAACAAGAAAATTAGTAAAAACAAAAAAAGAAAGAACGTAAAAAGCAAACAAAAAAGAAATCACCTGGAAATTGCTTAAAATTTCTTTTTTCTGTATTTTTTTTATATAATTTTCTGAATCTATTTATTTATTTTTTGCAATTTGTGAGACATTTCGTACCAAATTGCAAGGTTCAAAGCCTTCAATACTTGCGAAAGGTGTCTAAAAGCAAAAGAAGAAAAGTGATGTCGCTCTAGGTTTCATGAGGTTAATTACCAACAGATCTCAGATACTATTATCATATAGCTTACACCTTTTTTTAAATTACATTTTGCTCCCTTATTCCATTTATTCTACAACGTTTCTATTGTTTTTAATTGCTTTGTTCTAAGCCTTTTTTTGTAAATTTTGTATCTGTTATCATCAATGTTGTCTCTTAATTCTGTTGAAACTTTTGTTTAGTGGTGTTCTATAAACAGTTACTCTTCTGGGATTTATTTGCTAATGTATAAAATAAGAAAACAATTGAGATAACATAATATTGCAACAGCAAAGTATAAAACCTAAAACAAATCTTTGTATAGTGAAGGCTCAAGGAAATAAAGCTCAGGATGTAACTACATTTCGGAGAATGAATAAGACTGTATTGAACTAGATGCTGAAGAATGTAACATTATGGCACATTTAAAGTGGGGACTGGTTACTGTATGTTTTCGTAATTTGAAGACATCCAAGTCACTGTAAAATGAACAAATACTAAAAAGAATTTAAACTGAATGCGGTTGTAAAAAAAAAGACAGAGGAAACAGAATTATAAAATCTCTCTTACCTCTACGATGTCGTCATCAAACAGCAGCCAGAAGCCGTGGCTCTTGACGATGGTGATGTAGTGTCCGCGGTTGGGACCACTGCAGAGAGGACGAACAACATTATCAAAGTATTAGCAGAAAGTCATGACAGCAGCAGCTAATGGTGGTTAATGGTTGTCTCTTATTCCCATGTAAAGATATAAATGTGGACGCTCCTATCAAAGCACTGGCAGAAGAAAAAACATGAAATAATTGCTCTCATAACAGCATTTACTGTTGAATCTTTTATACAGGGATGTTTTAATTTTGAATGAGTAAAACGCTGACATCAACAGACTGAAGCATATCAACCCTTTGTGTTTACACACAATGTTTATCCACCTGAGAAAAGCACCGCAGGAAGATTACATCAAACTCCTCTGCAAGCTGAAGACAATCCAGCAACTAATAACTTGCATATGCTCACTTACAAATCAGCTTACGTGAGCTGATCAACCTCAGAAAACAGCAACAAGTCATCTTTGCAGGATATCTACACATCTGCTACCTCCTCTCTTGAGTTTTCATTTTTATAATTATGTTTTTGTTTTGTTTGTGTCATCATTTCATTGTCAAATATATCATAGAGAAAAGAGTCTCTTATTAAAGCCAGCACACAATTTTATTTTCAACGTTTCATCTCTGTTTTATTGTGGCTGTATTTATCTTATATTATTGCTAGGTATTTTATTGTATGATTTTACATGTCTGATTTTAGTTGCCTTATCGCAGAGGGTTTACATTTGCTTACACACCTTCAAAAACTATCCTCTCCAAGAGAATGTAAGTCCATAACATCTCAAAAATTGAGGATAAAAGAAGAACCTACCTGCCACAGTGTACAACGACAGCCACCAGGTCGTACATGCGGTCGGGGTTGGTGGCGTCCCCGGACGTGTTGAAGAGGCGGAGCTCCAGGGGGAAGACGACGCGATAGGACAGTTTGGTGTAGCGGTGCAGCTGGTCCATGTATTTAAAGCGCTTCAGGTGGAGAGCAAGGATCATCGGTAGCTTCTTTACCCTCATCCTGAGAGACGGAGAGACAGAGAGAGGTTTTTGAGATATGATGACACTGACATTATCTCTGAACTGAACTAAATACAAAGAAGATTTAAAAATCAAGGACAACACAAAGTGCACAGCTTATAAAAGGTCAGCGGAAAAACACCAGGAGAGAATCGTGCAACAACAGGCAGCAAGGGCAGTGTGTCCCCGAGAAAACCTCAGAGAGCTAAAAGCTTTCCATGTTGACACCATTACAGCTCCAGACCCCCTATCAGGAACAAGAAGCGTGTTTTTGGACACCGTGCGCTCCTCCTAATTTGGCCGAAACCTTTGGCTCGTGCTCTCGCAGCATTCTGCTCAGTGTTAATGCGAGGTGCAGCCGCTGGTGACAGCATGGCCTTTTCAAGCTAATGGATGTTACTTGGTGCACTTAGCAGGCAAAAAACAGTGCATGGTATGTATAAAAATACAGGACAGGCGCTTTCTACCATTTGGTTTTTCTGTTTACAGTGTGAAAAATATGCAGTGTCATCACATACAACTGCTGTGCAATACTTAACACAGACTTAGTAATGGGCTTTAATAAAAGGTTTATCTTGGCCCAGATCGACTCTAAAGACACATGATGCGCTTGTTAGATTGAAACAGGAAGGCCCTGAATGGTTGCTATAGTAACATCAGATGTGGTTTAGGGGTACCTTCTATTGGAACAACCTTGAACCATATTCGTCCGCTTAGAAAAGCTGAAGAGCGCTGGTGCTATACATACAGCTGCGTGACTGCGGTTAGAGCCGCCCCTGCACATGTATATAGAGATAATGTGGTAATGCTGATGAAAGATCACATAGCAAAGAGCAACTATTTTCAAATGCCCCAAATCTCTTAACCCTTCCATGTGGTTAACAAAACAACAACAACAACCGCCTTAAAGCTTTGTGTTCAAAAGTAGCTTTGTGCATCCTCTTTTGAAAGATTCTGATGAGCGTCTAAAACAAACCAACTGTACAAAACGATGCCATGATTACATTTGTACTAGAAGAGCACAAAAATATCACCACATTATCTCTATAATCACCATTAACCTTTAATTGCACATCCAATCAAGCACTCAAGATACATTGCTCGTTTGGGTAGTCAATAAATGTCAGTTTTTCTTTTTTTGCAACAAAATTGTTTTTGTTTAAGTCCGTTTTTACGTAATTCAGTTACCAATTATAATAGTTTAGACCGGACAGCTGTTCAATATCTCAATGTCAGAATTTTGTAATAATATAATTACATAGAGGGAGGATAAAATTGGGGCTGCAACTCATGTCAGAAAATAGTGAAACCTTCCAAGGTCATGTCTTTAAATGTCTTGTTTTGTCTGAGCAAAAGCCCAAACCCCAAAGATATTCAAAATATGGTGATATAAAATGCAAAAAAAAAAAAGGCTAAATTTTAGCAATTAAAAAAGGTAGAACCAACAGATTGTTTGCATTCATTGAGAAAAAATGACTTAAATTATTAAATGATTATCAGAATTGTTGTTGATTAATTTTCTATTTCTTGACTTATTTATCAATTGTTTGAGCTGAAAGAAAGAATGACAGAAAAAGAAAGAAACAGTGTGCCTACGGGTATCTGACACTTAAATTCAATGCTTTTTTATACCTTTTCAAGATAATTTTTAACCAAGTTCATGATTTATAGACAAATCATCTTTATCTCATTAAAGCACTGCAGGTTAGTATAAAGGTAGTTAGTGAATCTAGTCCCATGCAGAGGTAGGTTTTATGTAGGAATATTAGAGATGCACAATATTGGATTTTTTAATCGATATCCGATATGCTGATACATAGGGTTGGGGGGGGGGTCAAAACAGCAGAGTATCACGATATTTTTGTGTAGCAATAACGTTTTGTCACACAGTGCTAAGTATCAATACTTTATTATATAAATTATTAATATTACAAATATTTCAGGCTACTAGACACATTTTGCTGCCTAAAAAAAATAAGACTGAAGTGAGATGAACAGACTGTAAACTTCATCTTATTAGATAAAACAGACGTTAATGAAGTTTTCCTTTGGGGACATAATTCACAGTTGAAAAAACGTAATAAATCACAAATATCCCAATATATTTTATTGCAGTACATTTAAAAACGCAATAATATCATATCATGACACAAGTATCGAAATAATATCGTATCGTGGATCCTCTGGTGACTCCCACCCCTATTGATATGTAACAACTCATTTGACCGATAACCAATACCAATATCTATATATCCAATTTTTCCCTACCTAATTTTAGTGATCATCAAGTCTCTTTTGTAGTGCAATTAACATCATATTATGCATGCATACTCTTATCGTGATAAGATACCTCCACCAGCAGATGGAGACATGAAATACTATACTTTTGTAATGTATGTAATATTCATTCATTGTGCAAAGTAAGAAAAAGCATGTTGGTCGTTTCTGGTACTTCATTCTGAAGTCGATATTGGCCAATACCGATGACATGCCAATATTATCGTGCATGCCTACAGAAAATGGTTATTAGTGTAAGTCAGTGGTGTTGTAATCTCTCAAGGCAGATTCTGCAATATACATTGTAGAATCTGTTGGCAGCCCTGTGTGAAAGACGACTACCGGGGGAGGGCGTGGCTTTGAATTTGAACGATGCTGCGCTTTAGCCAATCACAATGGAGGGGGCGTGGCCGAGACGAGGAAATGTGTACCTACAGAAACAGCAAGCTCCGCGTCCATAGCGACCACTCCACCCAAAACGCCATCTCGTTAACATGAAAAAAAAATATTTTTTCCAGCGGATGTCTGAGTTACAACATCATTGAGCCAACTGGAGTAGTTTCATGTCGTATCCGACAACGGGAGGCTTTTAACAGATGACATCCTGATGTTAGCTTTGCTAACTGTCCCTGTCAGCTGCAGCCACTGATGCTTTCTTGACATCGTGATTTCCCATAACTGAATAATACCACACATAGCAACACAAAACTGCTTTGCTAGCTCAATCATGTTGTACCCGCTGGAAAATATATTTTATTCACGGACCGTTTATTGAGTTATTACCTTATTTTTATACAGTCTATGGTTATTACAGACACCGCTAACGTTAACAGCTAACGGTTAGCCCAGCTAATCTACGATAACCATATTATTAATTACAAATCGTGCACACAGAAATAGTAACGTTTGTTCAATCATTGTGTTTATAGACGTTACAAACATCGGATTAGTCTACATGGTGATATAGTGACGTGAAAAATGTGATATATAGCTAAACTCTGTTGGTTTTCTACCCGAAGTATTTGTAAACAACACGGCGATTCCCTGGGGGCACCGCCGGAAGTGAAGGACGTGAGCGATCCCCGCGCTGTGCCTCCAGAGGTAAAGGAAGAAAAAGTTGTTTTGTTTTTTTTTTCTTTAACCAATGGATTTCCAGATTGGTAGTGTAGTGGTAGTTGATGAGGTGGATGTATTACTCGGTAGATAGGTAGGTTACCGATGAGGAAGTAGGCATACTCTCCATATATTACAATGGCTTTTTAGCTGATAGGTGGGTAGACTGTAACTGGATAGAAAAAGAAGTGGGTATACCCCGTATACCTGAGTATACCCTCCACTACACCACAGGTGAAAGAAAGAAAGAAAAAAAAGAAAGAAAGAAAGAAAGATTCTAAATCTGCACGGCAGGAAATAAAAGCAACTAGCACACAATGTCACCCACCTTTTCTGGGCTTCCTGTTTGCTGCGACACTGCTCACAGTAGTATTTGTATTCACTACATAATGTCTCTGTGTTGCTGAAGCCCCTGTTAGGAACACACACACACACACACACACACACACACACACACACACACATTTACCAACACAAATAAACAATGTTTAAAAACCTTAAGAGTCCTAATCAAAATTCAAGCTTCATCTCTGTGGGTTTCCACATCAGCTGAGCATAAAAGACTAATTTCCTTTTTCATGGACGAGTGATGAGAGCTCCATGTTACCTGAGACAGTGCGTGATGGAGGTGTTCTGCTCCACGTCCACCGACAGATCCAGAAAGTCCTCGTCTTTACTGCTCACCTGCAGTGCAAGTGAAGACACTCAAGGTCACATGGATTCCCTTATTACAAAGGGTTTTGTGATGCAGCGACAGATGAGGGCACCAGGCCAGGTAAACACGTAAAAATGTGGAGGTGTCCTGTGGTGTTTTCTTATAAACAAACACAATTCTTTTTACATTGTGTTAGCACAAATGTGTGTATCCTTGAGGTCCAACAAATGGGTTGAATGCCTCATAAAAACATTTGCAAAAGGAACTTTTTTTCCAAGCATTTTAAACCTAGTGTTGTTACCATTCATGTTTATGATTCTTAGTAAGTCTGTTTTTTAGGCATCTAACTTACAGCTTCACAGTTGAGGCAGCGCGTCTCGTTGGTCAGTGTTCCTTGGAAAATCTCGTGGACCCAAGTCTGTTGTGTCTCCTTTCCTCCTTCCCCTTCTCCTCCTCCTCCTCCTCCTCCTCCTCCCTCACTTCCTCCTCCCATCCCTCCTCCCCCTCCTCCGCCTCCTCCACCTCCTCCTCCATTCTGCACCAGTTTTCCATTCTGCTGTCGCTCCTGGCTCTTCTCCTCCTGGAGCAGGTCTGCGATGGTGTTGAGGAGGTAGTTGAGGAATTCGTGGGCGTCCTGCTGCATGTAGTTGTCAAACAGCTCTGAGGTGGGACGGAAGGAGAAAACAAAAAATATGTAGACAAACAAAATAGAAAAAAAAATGGAGAGTTTTAGAGAAGTGGTGGAAGGAATATAGAGAAGGGTATAAATCAAGAGAAATCGAGATAGACCGGGAAGGAAGAAAGCGAGAACAGAAAATAAACAACATCAGCATGTGTTGGCGAGGAGAAATAGAGGCAATTAAGATCTCTTCTTTCTCATCTGCTTTCCGCTCCAGGATTTTGGCTGACAATTTTATTTCCTCAGCTGTGAGATTAACTTCTCAGCTGAAATACCTCCTCCCCTCCGTCCTTTTTCTTCCTCGCTTCTTTTCCCCGCTCTCCGCCTCGTCCCTCTCTCCCTCCATAATCTCCTCTGTGTCAGTCTTAACAAATAGCTGGTGAAAGACCATTTCAGGTCTCTAATTTCTAAACGCATGGTGCTGGATTGATGTTTTCCTGAGAAAAGTGGAGGAAGTCATGTGGTGAAGTTTCTGACAGGAGCAACAGCTGCACAATCTGGCAGAGCTGTCAAGTCCAAACATCCCTCTCTCCTTCCTTTCAGTACAGTATTACACTGTAACGATGCCCACCATTTTCTTTTCTCAGTCGTGAGATGAACTTCTTGGGAGGGATGACTCCGACTTTCTTCTTCTGCGTGGCGATGCTGTTGAACAGGTCGGCCAGACAGGTGAGGAGGGACTCCTTGCGGCGCGGCTGCACCTACGAAGAACGAGGACACACCTGTAACTCCTCTGAGACTTCGACAAACCATAAACAACTTTCTCTGATGTACAGAGCTCTAAAGTGCAGCTGAGGTGAGGCCACGTCCGGCCTGAACCTTGACATTTTATCTAATCTATGGGAGTGATATGACAAAACCATAACACACACACAATGTGATATTAATGACCTATGAAATTTATATTTAACTCAATCAGGGTGAGAGGTAACCGAGGGACAGAACAGTCAGAGGAGGTTTTAAAGTCTCTCTCTGTAAGACAATTAAACAACAGAGAAATGGATTCTTTCCCAACAATGTTCGAAGATAAGAAACACTTTATCCAACCTGTCTTGTTTGGAAAGTTTGCCAGAGATACTATTAATCCAAGGGAAAGATTCCTGAAGCCTGTTCGCTCATAAAAATGAAACATGAAGTATTTCCATGGAAGCATAACATACTTTAAAGTCCACATTAGTGTAGCTAATTCTTCATTCTGCTCATCACTCTGCAGTCAAGCTCTTGGACTCAATCGTAGTAGATTTCTTGAACTGTTAGCATTTTCAGACTTCTTTTTGAGCTCCTAATCGCTTTCTGTTTGTTTTCACTTGTCAGAAACATGTTTCCGCAGTGGCAGCAAAGCGTATTACAGGAGACACTAAACCTACATATTGGACCAGCAAACAATCTTTCTATTAAATCATTAGCAACCACCCACAACACACACTGACTTCTCTGGCTCTGTGCTACACAAGCCATCAGAAACTAGGCTGAACGAGTAAAACGACAATTTGTCACAGCTGTGGTGTTATTTTTGTGGCTCCAGCCATTGATTCTATCAGTTATGATAAGACTGTACCTAACAAAGTAATTACTGAGCTCTCATAATGTGGCAACACTAATAAAAATAGATTATGTTGGGGCAACAAACATCAAGGTTGATCAGAGTTATTTGGAAGAGAATATAAAGGCATACAGTGAGATAAGGATTCCTGGTTAAGCCTTTGATTCTTACCATAGTTGTGCACAGTTTTCCTATTCACACACTTTCAGTTTTACCTCCATTGAAAGTGGCTAGATAATCTGGTTTAACTGTTGACCCTTGTCTTAACTCTCATTAATGTTGCCTACATTTTACATTTTTGAATATCTATTTCTAGGTAGAAATTAGGGGTGGGCGATATGGCCCTAAAATAATATCATGATATTTCAGAGTATTTTTGCAATAACGATATTCTTAGGGGTAATAGCAAAAAAAATCCCAAGCCTGAACATTTTTTTCAGGGTGAGGCATGAGGAATGGGTCACCTACCCATGCCCAGCGCCATTTATTTTTGAGTCCTTTATCGACTATCTGGACGTTTTCCCTGGGTTTCATTAGCTTACTTTCCATCTTGATGAGAGTGTCTATGGCATGGGCTCCACTAGAATCTAAAGTTGACTCTGAACCAAGGCTCTACCAAAGCCCATCTACTGTCTGCGATGCACACATGTATCCCGCATCAACTTTTTTTTTTTTTTTTTACCTGACCGATCCCCGCACGCCAGAAATCTGGCACAGTTCCTGATTCCCATCACCCCTGTATTATTGACAATATGACAAATTAGTAAAAAAATAAATAAATATTACATTATGAAAGATTTATGACAAAATCACTTAACGACATCGACTCCAGTGTGCGCATAGCGAGAGAGGAGAAGAGACTCTGTGCTGCTGCCAGAGGAGCCTCTGAATGAGTTCCCTCTGAGCAGTAAGTCACTAAAAGAGTCTGAGAAGTCCGGGGCTGCTCATAAAACATTCAGGACGCCACAGTTTATTCCACACTACTGAAGCTGCTCCTCTTTTTGGAACCACCGCAGACTCTGTAATAATTTCGCTTTCAGCCATGCTTGTTGTTGCCGTGGGTAACCATATGATGCCAATACGTCAATAAGTTGAAATATTGCAAGTATCACGATATAAATTTTTCCTTATCTTACTAAAAACCGGTATTATCTTGAACGAGGTGATATGGCACACCTGTAGAAGAAATAAAACCCTGGTTGTAACAAACCATAGTTATCGTTAAGCCCTCTAAAGACACATTATAAACAGATGAACCACGATGCAACACCCTCTTTAAGCTAAGCTACATGACTTTCAAAGTCGTCAGATTGCTCTACTGTTCACACAACACACCACTTCCTGTCTTGTAAACTGGAGTCTTGAAGTTGTGGTTTTCCCACTGCATGACGGACTGAATCCCACATGAGTTTGTTTTTTAATGCGCAGGTCATGCCTGGCACTAGACCGCTAGCACTGTTTTAATGTTTAGGAAGGAGGTGTGCTTGGATGGAAATGGTGATAAAGATGTGCCATGGATATTTCAAAATAAAGGCAAAGTTCACTTGTTCCATTTATCTGCTGAATACCTTAACATCTAGTCAACAAATACAGCACCACAAATATAATATCCACAAAAAGTATGGTCTTATATTCAGACTGGTATATCACTATTTTTGAGGGTATTGCTGTGCATTCTTTTAGTATGACATTTAAGTCCACTATAGAAATATGAGGATAAGAACATCGCTGGATGGTAAAGCTAACATGTCTCTCATCACTTACCTTGTATGCCAAAACCTTCTCCCTGAACGGTCGACAGAAATACAGAGCCTGCAGCACTGAGTTACAGTAGCAGGTGTTGCCAAACTAGGGAAAAAAACAGAGACAGAATTAGAGACACAGAGAGAAAGACAGATACAGGACTGAGGGGAGGGGATGCTCCTGATCCTGAGATGTGTTAATGTACTGTGTTTTAGCAGTAAAGCTAGACTGCTTTTACACTAAGTGAGGGGAAGCGATATGTGCTCTTAGCTGACACTTACGTTGACCAATCCAAAGTAGTGTTCATTAACGGGAAACTGTTCCGGTCCAATCTCCTTTTCCAAGGCAGAGGCATTGGCGCCCTGAAGAAGAAAAAGAGGAGAATATTTAATGATATGGTGTGTGGTTAAAAACAAAAAGATGCATGTGCAACGACACAGTACAGTAAAATAAACATTTCCTTTACATGAAATTAGCCATCTGAATCCCTCCTTTGTGCTCCTGTTTCCTCCTCATTGTTTTCTGTTTTCCTGCTCTATTTTCTCTGCGCTCTGCTGGACTGTCAACCATCTGTTTGCTGCAGCTGTGTTTCCTGCTTCATTTCCTCCATTTATGTTCTGATATTCTCCGCGTAAGTCTCATTACTTATTGTATATGCTTCATAACTACGCCAATAATCAATAGGCATCTTAATGACAGAGCTTTACCAGAATGACTCAGGACAAACCTTTAACCAAGTCACTTCTTTAATATCATTATTCAGCTTGACTATCAGAGTGGTTACCTCGCTGTGTGTAAAACACTTCGAGTTAGTGTCTATAGAATGGAAAAGTAGAAGAAGTACTTTCTGTTACAACACATAAACACATTAATAGATAGATAGATATAATAGCCAGATATATCCCACTGTTCTGACGTGCAGGTGGTGCATTTGTTATTAAAAGGCCACTTCCTGGTTTTCTTGTATTACCCAACAGTGCCCAAAAATCCCCAAATGTACTCCCATGACTCAGCTGTCATATCTGCAGCAAGCTGAAAGGGCACTTCAGGATATGAGTGCACTATCATGGGAGCACAGCAATAACATTGAGAGGAGCTTTAAGCGTGCATTTTTGTTTATTCATTTATTTATTAATTGCTTTAACAAGCCAAACAGAATCTGTATTATACTTCGGGATTTATCCTGGCTTCATATGAGCAGAGGAAACCTCCACTAGTCACTAGGCTAACTTATACAATGTAAAATGCCATAGGCTTGTGCTAATAACGTTAGCATGTTGTATTTGTTTGGAAAATGTGTTTAGTATAAGACAGTTGCTTTGTCAGTGAAACTTGTGAGCTGTAATGGAGCCAAATTTTGTAACTTTACCTTTGTTAAATGTTGCTGTTGTCCCTGGCTTCATATGAGTAGAGGAAAAGTTTGCTTGCTGCTAGGCTAATTTATATAATGTAAAATGCCATAGTCTTGTGCTAATAACATTAGCATGTTGTATTTGTGGGGAAAATGTGTCCAGATAAAGACAAGTGTTTATCTGTGGCAAATGTGGCTTTGGCCTGCAACTGAAAATACAATCTTTTTTCGCCAGTCAGCCTGTCAATAACGAGACATGAATTTTTGTCCATATCACCCAGCCCTAAAATATACCCATGAAACTGTTTAAGTCTTCATCAGAAAAGCTTAGCTCTATCAAAATCCAATGACATTTTGAGCTTGTAAAATGATGCTGAATGGAAAAAACAAAACAAAATGTGGTTGCACACAAGTGAAAAAACGCTGCATCAGAAATTCATGATTTTAAATGTAAGGAGACAAAAAATTGTAAATGTCAAAATAAAAATTGTGCACAAATTACATACTTGGTGAGGTAACACCAAGACAAGAAAGCATCTGACTTTAAGCAGAAAACTATGTGTGAAACTCAAAGTTCCCACACTGTGTACAACACTAAAATTGCACATGTACATAAACACACATTTAGGGGATTTTCAAGACAAGACAATAAAGCAGTCTTTTTAAAAATAAAAATCATGCCTGCATTGTAAATGCTGAAATAACTTCCTACAGTACAGATTAAACAAATGTAGCTTTTACCACAGGAGGCTTCTGAATCATTCTTGAAAACATGACTTTTACTGTATGATGCAGTTTAAAAATCTTAGCAAACACTAAAAGAATGGCTCTGTTTTACTGCTGTAACAACATTCGCTCTCCAAAATGTAGCAGTGTTTTTTTGGTAAATGCCAGACCATCATAAGACTGAACTTTAAAACGCAATGAAACAAGTCTTTCAGTCATTATAAAACCTTTTGCTTCTGGATGTCATTCGGTCTGAGCTTCCAGAAATTGATTACTATATTAAGGCAGGAGAGAGGCACAGAGAGAGGAGGGGAACAGTGATGATGATGATGATAACAATGATGCAGCTTTTCCTTCAGGGGTGAATGACTACGCAAATGGAGCTGCTCAGTTGTTACTCATCATCACACTGCAGTCCATGTAAAGTCAACAAGAGGAGAGCAAATGAAGCCTCGGCTGAGGTTATTTATCTAACAACACCACGTCCAAACATCACAGGGTTGTAAACAAAGTCAGAGCGCACCAAGACAAGCTTTCTGATGTCGGGACGGCAAACGGAGAGGAAGGCAAATATCTGCCTGGGAAAAAGGAATTAGATTTGTTCAATACATGCTGTACACAGACGCTGGGAATTATTTATGTATTCGGCTTCGGTTTGAAGTGACAGCTTTGAAATGACTCTGTATCCTGTATTGATGGAAATGAAAGTGAACTGCCGCCTGTGCAGGGCAGCCTGAAAAACTTTTTAGACACCAGCTTCAGTGAAAACTAGATTCCAGACAGCAGGGCTAAATGACTGTTCTGTTAAGACACTGTGATCATGTTTATTAATGGTGACCATCAGTTGAGCATCTGACAGCCTTATTTTCTGATTTGAATTAAACAAACATGCTTTTTTAGAGGTTCTTGTTTTCATTTAACAAAGAAAGCTGTACAAGAATGTCAAGAATCTGTCTAAAAGGAGCACAATTACACAATAAGACAGTCGGTTGAAAGCTCTGGAAATGCTACTAAAAGGACCTCCTGGTGAAACTGGTGTCACCTGCTGTTTAGAAGGTCAAGAACAAACTTTCAGTCTCAGCTTTTACAGGCAAAATAGACGAAAGCACTCAGAATAAATTGCAACTAAATGAACCTTGCCATGTGATTGTTTTGTCGGCAAACATAATCAATAAAAATCTTGAAATATATAAAAGAGAATGGAATTCACTCCTCTGACGAGAGGAAGGAAAAACTTCCTCAAAAACACTTCTAAGACTAATCCCTCTCCCTATACCCAAATTTCCATCTCCTAGTACCAATACCTGAGAAATATAAAAAAAAAGATTTCCTATAAAATCCTTTAATATTTAACATAAGACGCAAAAGTTCTCAACTTTCAAATGACAAAATGGAAGAATAAAAAAAATCGAAAACAGACAAAATTTTGATTTAAATATGGAAATACACTGTTAAACATTTTACTGTGCATTTACAGTAAATTGCTGGCTGATAGTTGCATTACACTTACAGTAAATTACTCATTTGTAGTAAGTAAACTGATGTGAAATTACAGCTGTATACTGAGATCTCACGGTTATGCCTGCATATTACTGTGATTTAGCAGTATGCTCCTGTAAAATTACTATATTTAACTGTAACCTCATAGTTAAAGCCCATTACATTACTGTGATAGTGTGCTACTGTAAATAATTAACTTCAGTTTCCAGTTGATTACTGTAAATTAGCAGTAATATATTCCTGTAGAATTACAGTATTTCACTGTTATCTCACAGTTAAACTCCATATATTATTGTCATTTAGCAGTATGCTTCTGTAAAATGACTATATTTACCTGCATGAATTTCACAATAAATTTCTGATTTTGGTTAAATATCACAGTGAAAGCCAGTGAGATGATAATAATGTAATTTATTATGAAATATTACAGTTACATATTGTAACTTGCTAGAAAAAAATTTGCAGTGTATCCTATCAAAGAATAATTACAGAAGATTAGTCATTAGTCTCATTTCAGTTGATATTAAAAAAGCGCTGAGGTTCAATCACTGTGGTGAGTAATCTGCTCATTCTATATTCCGCAAATTTGAAGCTAAAGTTGTGATATATAAGTGGTCATAGAGCTGAAAGACAGCTCTGTAAGATGAGACATCACCTGGGATTATGGCTACCTTAATATTGTGATATAAAGCTGTTGTCTTCCAGTTGTCTTTAGTGCAGACTTACAGTTAACTGATATGACTAGACCTGTCATTATATAGTGCAAAGTGAAATAAACAAACGTCTCTATTGTCTGTTTACTACATTTTTCTGTCTCTAAAAACACCAACAGCCATCCCAAAATGCTGCCACATGATCAAAACTGATGTACAACTGCCCAGCTCTGCTTTGTGCAGCCCTACCAGTGACTTTCACGGCTTCACCAGCAAAATTGATTTTCTGAAAAACAAATACCTTCCGGGCAGCAACTGGTAGCCTGCCAAAGTGGCAAACAGACTGAGCAAACCTGCCAGACACAGCTAATATTAAGCCTTGTTAGTATTTGTCTAGCAAGTGCTGGTGATTTGCCACAATGATGCTGGCCTTCACACTTAAAAGGGTTATAAGGCCTGTTGTGTGGTCTTTAAAACGCTGTGCATGTTCCAGCCACACAGCTCACTGTTCTCAGCACACACACACACCAACAGAGGCTAGTAAATTAAAAAAGACTGCAGCAGACGTCTTCGTGGCATCTGCCTAGCCGTCTGTCAGCTCTGAAAGGTGCAGTGGGTAGGAACAGGATAAGTTACAGTCAGAAGTTAATCTGCTGGCTTTAAGCTCTTCTGCTTGCTCCTGTGACTTAGCTACGCCGCAAAAGACACAAAGATGGAGCCGTCACAATAAATGCCACGAGGGCGAAGGAAGCAGTATCTGACCTTTTTAACCTTGTCTGCTCAAACAGGTTGCTGTCCTACAACTGGGGAATGTGTGCTACAGCTAGTGTTCACAAGCATCTACCGGCTGATGGTGTCTTTGAGCACGGCTGACCCTGACCTCTGACCTCCAAGGATTTCTGTATGAGGATCAATACAGAATCATATTATTAAAGCCTTCTAAAAAGCAGCTTTCATGGGTAATTGATCTAACTGGGCTACGGTATGAGAAGATATGTTAAACTGCTGACACATAAGGAAAAAAGAGGCACAAGCACTCTTACCTCTAAATTAACTTATCTTTTACATAACCTTACAAACACTCACACCGTAACGGCCTCTTCAAGTTAAAAGTGTTGCTAATTTTGGGAACCAAAACCTGAACATTAGCAGTTTAGAGGAAACATTCAGGGTGTATCCCATGACAGGAAATGCTAAATTTCTTCATTGGTTACACATTAAGAGACAGCTATGTCAGCTGGCTGAGGTGTTGACATTCACTGACCATGGAAATGTTTAGTTATTCTTTACTCTTGTATGTGCAACAGCTATAAAAACAATAAAGAAGCTATAATAAAGGATATAAACTTGGATTTGTGTCTGTGTGGGCAAACAACATTGGACAAGCAGGCTTAGCAGTCCTATGTTTCCAGACAAGTGTCTCTTGATGTAAACTTTAATTAAAAGAGATTGGTAGGGGTTGTTTTCGCACTTTCGTTTGCAACAAGAGCCAAGGGTTGTATGTTTTAAATACAATTTGAATGATAAAAATATATTCAGCCACTGCAGAGATATTAATGTCTAAAGTCTGGGAAACTGTGTTACCCACAGATTTAGGAGCGTAGGTTTCAAAGAGTGTAACATCAGCAGGCTACAAGCTGTAGGTGGGTGATTTTGACATGTTGACCCAGGGGAACACACACTTAGCATGTGACCTGGTGGAAAACACTACTGGGAACTTAAAAGCCTTTAAAATGTCTCCTTAATGAGTCATAATAACAGGATATTGGAGTGGGGAACACAGGACCCTGGGAGCAGAGATACGCTTCCAGCTAAGCTAGCTAGTTTTCGCCCGTTGGTCAACCCTGCCCTTCTCGCGTAAACAAACTACAAGCTGGCTAATAAACTCCCAAACAAGCTTATTTAATATCTTCCTGTTTATTAAGCTGACCCGGGGTGTGTGCGGAGCTGGGGAGCTCACTGTTAACACGCTATAACTTTCTGGAAGCCACTGTGTGTTATTATCATGTTGCCCTGTGATGTTAGCAAACAGGCTAAGCTCAGCAGCTAGCTGTCGCTGTCCTGGCTCACGAGCCCGGGCACCGGACAGAGGCGCGGCGCACGGATACCAACGATAAAGCCGAAAAACAGCTCCTTACCATCGTACAAATCGAGGCGATCTTTCGGACTGTCATCAGTATTTCCATCCGTAAGCCGCCATGTTGGACCGAACCCCGATGTTGAAATAATCAGAGCCGATGCGGCTGCAGAGTTCCGGGAGAGCCGTCTGCCCTGTTGGTTAGTGCCGTTAACATACACTGAGGAGCATCCACCACTTCCGGTCTGGAGTTTCAAAATAATACGCCGAATGAATAAATAAAAAATATTTTCTTATTTTTATTTTTAATATTAATTCTAATACAAAAGAATTAGAAACAGTGTACCCTAAAATAAAAGTACTAATTATGCAGAATGGTCCACTTCAGAATAATATACATTTATAGGGCTGCAACCATGGACGTAACATCATATTCTGGGTCCTATGAGCAGTCTCTGTGGGCCCCCCACCCTGAAAGTTTTTTACAAAGTCAGTCTTTCATTTATTTTATTGGAATCCAAATTTCCCATTCTTCATATTAGACATGATGGTGTAAGTTGGTCATCCCACAGCATAAGTAGTCAGCTTTAGAGACAACTTCTAGTGCAGGAATGGATGAAACCATTTTGCACTTTTAACGGGTCAGAGGGACCCTTAGAGAGCTTCCACACATTCTTTATTCAAAGTTCAATCTTTTAACCAATTTATTCCCCATTTTTAATTTAGTTATGGCACTTTCTGAATTAAAAAGATGCAAACTAAACCTTTTTTTTTATTCCAAGCTTTTCAAGGCCCTTGGCAATTAGTCCCACTTTTCCCCCCACTGCAGCGCCCCTGGCTGCAACTAACTCGCACGTTGCTTAGCTATTAATCTGAAGATTATTTTCTCGATTAATCAATCAGTCTTTTGTTTTACAAAACAGTAAAAGCAGTAAGAAAAACCTGTTACAATATCAAATGTTTGTTTTTTTCCAACTATCATTTACAAACCCCAAAACATATAATTTTTTATAATGTAGGACAGAGGAAAGCTGCAATTCTGAGAACTTGGAAATATCAATTATTTTTCTGGCATTTTGCTTTAAAAAATGACTTAAATGATTAGTTGATTAACAAAATACATTTTCCTGTCATTCAAATAATCAATTAACTGACCAATCGTTGCAGCTACAGAATATATATTGTCTTAGGCCCACTGGATTATAATTATTGATTAATTAATATAACCTCTTTTGACTGTTTTATAAACTGCTGGGTATCTTAACCTTTAATAATGTACAATCATGTATTTGTTGATTTATATTTTGTATTGATAATATGATTCTGAAATGTAGGCTAACTATAGATAAAAAATAAAAAGTACTTTTCCCTCATCAGTGTGACAAATGTTTCTCCTTAAAAAGAAATACTTAAGTAAAGTTCAAGTACGTCAAAACTGTACTTACATAGGCCTGCAGCACTTGAGTAAATTCCACCACTGAATATTGGCTGCTAGCCAGCCCTACTTCATACCTCTTGTGTCTGATTTTAGATAGGAGAGTTTAGGGACATTAATATAGGCCTATGTAAATAAATAAAATAAAATGCATTCAGAAGGAAAAACTGTAGTGAGCTGCTGAGGAAGACTGTGAGATGTCAAGAAAAAGCTAGTGAGTCGAACTGTACTATAACAATTTGTTGTTGTTGTTGTTGTTTTGTATGTATTTGTTATATCTTATTTTGAATGTACCAAACGTAGCTTCCGGTATTACTGGCCGTGTCTGCCAGCTTCCTCCTGTCCTGTCTGGTGAAGCTGCTGTGAGGGAGTGTCGCCGACGCAAAACTCAGATGCACTTCGGTTCGTTCAGTTCCTGACACAGGGGTAGAATCGGTGGGCGGTGCTTTGGTCCGTGTGTTTAGGTATTACTACTCCATTATTACCCGAACTTTGTCTCCTTCGGGACATAAGAGAATAGTTCATGAAGCCTACTAACACTACAGTGGTAGAAAGTAACTAAGTACATTTACTCAAGTATCCTGCTGTACTTAAGTACAATTTTACTCCACTCTAGTCATGTTAAAGCTTATTTAGGCTATGGGTTACTTTGCAGATTCAGATAATAAGCCCATATGACTTACTCTGAAATGGGCCATTCTGCATGATAAGTAGGCTACTTCTACCTTTAGTAGACTACTATAAGTATTTTTTGATGTTAAGACTTTTGTATTTTTACTTTAAATTGTGAATACAGGACTTTTACTTGTAATATAGTATTTCACACTGTGGTAGGCTAACTGATCTGAGTATTTCTTCCACCTACTGTATACTAATATACCACTGTTTTTCATAACAGTGGATATTATTATAACCTCTACATTTATTTAATTCCATTGAAAATACAACAAGTAAAGAATGACTTTAATGCAGTTATCGTATGATATCAAGACCTAAAGAAGGTAATTGAGTTTGTTTTTTGTTTTTTCATGATTTGGTACCATTTCCCAAAAAATATTTTTATGAAATCTTTCTATGTATATATATGTTTGTAGTTGTTGTGTTATGGTTTCTGTTTCTTGCTATTTTAAATTCCTACTTCCTATTTTTACATCTTTCCTACTTTGTTTCTTGCCTTTCATTCACCCATAAGTAATAAACTCTGAAGAATATTTCTATACTATATATATCTTTTTTTTCCTTTACCCAAGATATTTATTCCCAGCATGTGCTATATGTGGAATATATGGAAGCTCATTTCTGCCGAATAATAAGAAGCAAATGTTGAATAATAATAAAAACATGATAATAAGAATTAAAAAAAAATATGGTAGCCAATGTCAGGAATTTTATGCACTATATTGACTTTGTCAATTTCATACTTTTGATTTTAAGAGTTATAACTTGTTATTTTATAATTTAGTGGTGCAAAATGTTGAATAAAAAAGAAAAGGTTACAAAAGTGTGCACATCCAAACGATAAAAACTAAGTGCTGGATAAGAGATCATTCAAGAGACAAGAAGAAGAAGAAGAAGACTTCAGAACACATCAGACACTTTTCATCTGATGAAGAGCAAGACACTTGAACTGTTATGTCTGTGGTAATTTATTGAATTTTTATGGGAGCAATAAAACTAAAAAAAAACTACAATATATCAGTTATATTAAATAATGGCTTAAACAGCCACAGTTTTTAATAATTCCACTCATCACAAAAATCTCATTTTGACATCAAGTCAGTTCTGCAAACTTAAAGATATGGAAAAAATATCAATCATCAATCAGAAATATTAATTTTTACTTATTAGCTTAGTTTTTATCACCTGCATTTTTATTTTTATTCCTAAATTTAATTTAATCCAGGCGCTAATGGGCTTCCATACCTTACAATGCACTGATGCGTTGATGCTCTCGTCTCTCTCTGCTTCATTAAAGCAGAATAAAATATTTACTGCCACCTACAGTCTCTTCTTCATCTAATTTGCTTTACAGCTTTATTATTGCAAACCTTCATTTCCTTGTTTATTGGCCCCGGGATGTCTAATGATATGTGAGTCAGGCTGCAGAGAGCCCAGTTTGGACTGGTCTCATGGGAATATTAGAGGGGATGGTTCAGAGGCTCCCTCCTTCCCTCCTTCTGCTCTCTGTCCGCAGTCAGCAGCATCTGGAGTCGGTGTGAACGGGAATGCTTCTTTTGCAATTTATTATGCAGCTTATCTCAAAGCTGAGTTGTGATTTTAGTATTTAAGGGAGTGAAATGACGGAGGTTCGTTACTGAAAGATCCACGGAGGGGTTAAAAGTTTTTCTGAGCACTGAGTGGAGGAAAACTGTGAAGTGCAGCTGGAATACTTGGAAAATATTTGGGAATTCTGCACCTTTAACTCAAAGGAAAACCTACTTTTTTATGCAGGAATTATAAAGCACCAAGTGCAAACACCAGGATACCTGAGGAGCTCTCTTTGTTGTCTGTGCAGGAGCATAATGGGAATACTGGAGTGATTTTCCTCGGGGCGGACGGGGGTTCACCGGACACTGTGATTTTCCCACATAAAGCAGATCTGATCTGAGGGCAGAGGGGAGCTAAATGCGGCTGACTGCCAGTGACCCTGCACCGGGAACCATGAACAGCAGTAGCACCGGGTCTGGCAACTTTCTGCTGGTGCCCATACCGGAGTATCCCCTGCTGGACTGTGTGCCCAACAAGACGGTGAAGATTGTGGTGCTGGGGGCGAGCAACGTCGGGAAAACCGGTATGGATGGAGGGAAGAGCTGGGGAAGGGACAAATATAAAAGTCAGCTGAGTTAGGAAAGTGTGTCCGAACAATCTGAAACTGTGATGCAACAGATGGTTTGTAGGGATTAAACTGTTGGCACAGGATGTTTGGGATTTCATGCATCTCAGTAATATGTGACAGTAAATGAACCCCCTCATGATGCAGCTTGTTATTGCTATGGATGTCACTGTGATAGTATATTTGTGTAATAAGAGGAGGAATACCGAAGGAAAGTAGTATAAATGTTTGAACAACCAAACCTGAACGACAGGGGGCGACATTTTGCATTTATGTGTTAGAAAATTATTCATTATAATCAGTGGTGGAAGAAGTATTCAGATCCTAAGTAAAACAATATATTTTTTAAAAATACTTCAGTACAATTAAAAGTCCTGTATGCATGAATTTAGATGAATGAAAGTGCAAAAATATTATCTGCAAAATGCACTTGTGTGCAGAATGCAGAGTGTTATGATCATCATACTGCATTACACTTATAGATTATTATTATTATTAATGTGTTAGTTGTAAATGTTGCTGTGGAGCTAATTTTAAGTATTTTATACACTTTAGAGTATTGTAATTTAATTTGCAGCACACGTGTTAAATCTTAATTGTAATAGTAACATATTGTAATGGAGTAAACAGTATAATATTTCCCTCTGAAATGTCGTAGAGTAGAATTATATAAGGAGACATGAAATGGACACACTGTAAAACTTATTAGCCCCGGGCTTTTATTTGCTTAAATCACTGAAATCAACAGGCCTGTATTTGGGACAGGAATTTAATTCCATTCACACAAACCTGTTGCTCAGCAAAGATTGGGAAATACATATTGTTTATTTAAACCAGTATGATTATTACTTGTTTAAAAATTAGGCAACAGATAATATATCTTCTTGAGACGTCACATTTTGGGTTTACTTGACCGTATACTTCATTCTACTTACCTTAGACCTGCTGTCCTCGTTCGTGGACACTTTTTGTGCCATCTAGTGGTAGTAAGAGCACATTACACTCATACGTGTAAAAACAAGATGGCAGCCATCTCCGCCAAGTCAGTCTGCAGCTGATCCCGACACAAAAGTCGGCAAGGTCCAAAACCTGATCACGTTTTATGGTTGAAACTTGTTTATTTATGATTAATAATGTTTTTAGTTTGATATGGCAACTAATTGAACCAATTGTAGCAACAGTAACAAGCTAAGGTGCTGTTAAATAGGAAGCACTGGTTTGGAGACATTAGGACTTTATTATTGTCTCGTTTGAGGACATTGGGACTTAATTATGGTTGATAGAGTTTAGTTTTTAATACTTATCAGGTCATACTGATCCCAAATTGCTAGGAGAGATTAAAAACAGATATCAAAAAAAAGTTTGAGTCTCAGGATGATATAAAGAGACAGTAAATGGAAATACCATTAAACTTCAAGTATTAGCCCCGGCTTTTATTTGCTTAAATCACTGGCCTATATTTTGGACAGGCCTTTAATTCCTTTCATACAAACCTGTTCCTCAGCAAAGATGGGAGATACAAATTGTTTATTTAAACCAGTATGAATATAACTTGTAACAATAAAGTAACAAAATAAGGCATCAGATAATATATCAATTATGAATCATTTGTTTGATCTAGCTGTGACAGACAGCACACCAGGCTATCGAAGATTTCGCCACTCAGCATACCAACACACCACCATTTAATCCTGTTAAAACAATATTCACAACTTGGATTCATTTTCATGAAAAACCCTTTGATTGTTTCAATCTGAGGACCCATACGGACTAAAGGAAAATGAATAACTTACAGGGTAATCGAGGAATGGACACATAATTTGAGGTAGCCAACAACCTGCTTTTATACATCTGAAGAACCTCTGTAAAAAAAACAAAAAACAATGAACTGCTTGGCAACCAGACCAGGCGTCTCCTTTATGAAACAAAGCACAGGATCCATACTAAAAACATACATATGGACAAAAGCCAAAAATGGCGTTCGGCAAAAAATATTCAACAAATTCTACAACCAGGCTTCCACCTCACCATTTGCATCGCTACCTTCCTGTCTCCAAAATGTTCATCAGCATGGGTCAAAGTTTCTCCCATCAAGTTTGTTCTTATAGATCACAACTTTTGCATAGGAAGTGGCGTATGCCTCTGTCAGGACTCATTTTGTGCGTACGCATTGTTTATCAATGAGACCCCGGGAGTCTAATTGAGACAGGCATTATTTGTCAAAATGTGTAGCCACATCAGGCCAGTAAAAGGGACTGGCTGTTTAATTGGGACTAGTCTTTTAATTGTAGTTTTACGATACTCGAGTAAACTACAAGTACCTTAAAATTATACTTAAGCTCAGTACTTAAGTAAATATCTTTAGTTACTTTTCACCACTGAATGCAACCAACAGAAAGATCACATTGAGATTAAGATCTTGTTTTAGAAAGGGCGGTGGCCACCAGGCAGTACAGTGCAGAAACAGTTAAATTAGCCTACTAAAAGTGGCTAATTTGTCCAAATGGTGATAAGTGAGCGATTTGCAATTGGTAATAAACCTCAGGGAATTCTTAATGTTTAACAATGGAGCGCACACATTCATGTATAAAACACTTTAGTCCAACTAGACACAAATAGTTTTTCATTTAATGGTAAAAAATTATGTAATTGTAGCTGTACTTTAGTTTTATGGTTTAGTTTACTCATTGCAGGGAGTACTATTCAGCCTGTGGACACAGTGTCTCTGGAGGGAGCTTTTTTTTAACAGTCGGAGAAAACAACCCTGATGATGTCATAGCGACATCATCAGGGTTGTGTCAGTTTGACCTCGGAGACAACAAATTGAAGTGGAAAGTTTCAAAGTAGAGGTGTAACATCATTAGAAAGACATGACAGGGAGGGAAGGGAGGGAGTTTAATTAAAAGTGCTGTCAAGTTGCATTATGGGAAATGTAGGATACAGGGTTTTTTGGTGGTTGATCCACACTAGGAACTAAAAGTGAGGATATCTCGGCCTGTGCTGCTCTGAATTTGCCTATTCTTCTTTTGAACTGTCTCTTGTGAGCTTTCTGACATTACTGCACTTTAATGTGAACAATCTGTGGTGTGATCCTTTAATGGGAAGAAAAGCTTCAACTCAAATGAAACTATCCTCCCACAGTCAGCAGGAGTCCACCCAGAATCCCTAAAAAACGAGAAAAACAAGAGAAAAACAAGAGATACATGAGACAATCATTTACCAGTACAAAGGTGATGCATGAGGGATTGCAACATCAGATCTGAGCACTGGTGAATCATTTTCTTACTTCAGACTTTGGGCCTGTTTATTTGGCTCGTCTCTCTCCTATAAAAGTCAAAAAACGTGTGTCACAGAAAAGAGAAGTTATTGCAACACCTGCAAATGTTTAAGTGTAATATAGGTCAGTAGGTTGCAGCAGGTTAGGGGGGGTTCTTATACATGTTTTTTATTCCAAGTACAAGAAGTTTAAGATGAAACAGCAGATACTGATTTTGTACTTCATGCAGAGTTTTGATTCCTTTTCAGCTTTGATCGTCAGGTTTCTGACCAAGAGGTTCATCGGAGACTATGAAGCAAACACTGGTGAGTTCCAGCCCATCTTGTCTGCAATAAAACGAGAAACATTTGGCAAAATAAGCAGCAGCAACAAATGCACTTAGTGACTGATTTCCCTCTGCAGAAGTCCCCACTATTGATCCATTCATCCGTCCATTCATTCATCCTGTCGCTTTCATTCTCCACAGGAGCACTCTACTCCAGAAAGGTCACACTGGATGGGGAGGAAGTGTCGCTTCAGATCCAGGATACTCCCTGTGTCGCTCTCCAGGTAACTGATGGAGGCAGAGAGACGGCAGCCATGTTTCCATCCCAGAGTTTTAATGTGCATTAGGAACAGAACGTCTGGATGGACACAGCTGAGTGTAAACAACCTCAGTTTGAGCTGGTTGTTGCTTCAGTTAATGGAGACGTGATGTGCCACACTGGTGATGGAAACACATTTGTCGCATAAATTATGACAGGAGTCCATTGATTTCTCTTTGTAGAAGACTTAAGACAACTGCATCCTTTTCTTCTTCTTCAATTGGCATCTATCTTGAAGCAGAAAATTCAGTTGAAATTCTCACAAGATTCTTAATTCTTTATCCTTGGCAACATGTTTGATGCTGAGAGCTCATTACTGTGTTGTTTTTGTACTGAGCTGCTCAAACATCATTTAACAACTGTGCCAAAATGTTCCTTCCCTAACAAAATGTTGTCCTCAGTGTGTTGTTAGTCAACAACTGCACAAGGAAATAATGACAGAGAGGAAGAAAAGCGTAATAGGTTTAGGGTCACAGTGTTAACTTCCTTGCGGGATGACTAAGACGGTTGTGGTCTCAACACTGAGGAATGGCAGGCCAACAACAGGCATTTGAAATTGTTTGGTGATTTAATTAGAGTTAGAGTTTGTGTGCACCATGGGACTATGCAAGAGTTTGAAAAGGTTAGCTCTGAAAGAATTTGCTTTTTAGCATAAAACCTTTTCTTTTCTCTCGAGTTGTGTCTGTCAGTGTGCACAAGTTAGATTTATGTGTGTGATTTACCTGATTTGTTGGTGGATGATCAGTAACACCAGATATTATTTCAGCTAATATGATTTTAGACAGTCAGCAGCCCATTTATCGCATCAGCTTTTGAAACTTCAGAGTAAAATCAATTCATTTCAGTGGAATCATCATCATCGGCTTTCGCATAGATTTCAGTTTGGTCAATTTCAAATCTTCTCTGCTTCAACCAAACGGTTTTTACAGAGCTGACCTTCCAGGGAACACTATGTAGCTTTCAGGTAGTAGTTTACGCCATCCATGTTTATTTGGGAGCATATCTATGTTTCCCAGGTTCTATGTTCCCCACTTAACCCTGCAAAAAAGGTTCTATGTTCCCTGCTTACACAAAAAAGGTTCTATGTTTCCCAGGTTCAACCGCTCAACCAAGCGGGAAACATAGAACCCTTTTTGTGTAAGCAGGGAACATAGAAGCTTTTTTGCAGGGTTAAGTGGGGAACATAGAACCCGGGAAACATAGAACCCTAGGCTAGTGTGATGGCAGTTAGCTCGTTAGCTAATATCTCTAGCTAGCTCTGTGTGTTGCCACTATACCACTATATATGTTACTACCAAGCTTCTAGCACCACCTATGTTCGCTTCATTCAACTCCAACACCCTGAGGCCCTGATCACAAAGAAAGCGTTTCAGCAGCTGGAGGTGCTTTTTTGTAATTGTTTTTAATAAGAATGAAACTTTTTGCTCGTGGTTTTTGCGTTGTGACACGCCTTGGGTTTCTGCACTCGAGGTGCCTGGCGTTTTTGCCGGCTCTGAACCCCTCGAGTTGAAAAAACTTCAACTTAGAGCGGAAAAACATCCCATGTCATATATTTTTCATCATCTTTTTTTCCCATTGTCCAATCAGATGATTTGAGAGGCAGCTGGCCTTCTGTGATGGTCATGACAACCAGTTAACAGCTGGTAAACAATGGAGGAGAAACTGGTGGTAGTGGTTGCTGGATACCCAGAGCTATACGGCCTGGCGATAGACAACAGGTTGTCAAACTGCCCCTGAGTCATCCTAAAATATGCCTAGAAACGGCCATCACGGAGAAGCTCCTGGACCAACTGGTGGTACTCCCCATGATACACCCTCTTTATTAGGGTCTCATGTACCCACACAGATCTCTGTTTCCCTGTGCCCAACAAACTNATGTACCCACACAGATCTCTGTTTCCCTGTGCCCAACAAACTATTTACTGACAGCCTCTCACCCTCAACCAGAGCTACAGCAAGTACCTTCTGCCTGTCCGAATTACCAACATAATTTCGGGGAATACAATTACAGTTACAGTGTGACGTAACGCGTTACTACCCAAAATAAACTGTTGATTTTTCATTTTTCATTCATCCACACCGCTCCACTTCCACCAGTACACTACCAGAAAAAACATCGCCCGAAGGTTGATGTGTGTTGTCATGTCACTACAGACTTCATCATAGAAGGGTGCCGGTGCAGCACTGTGTGTTATCGTGTTCATTGTGTTTCCATTAATATAACGACGTACAATGTTTCCTGTTCTGCTTTTGCGTCCTAAGACTGCCTGAAAGTAGCGGGTATAGGGAGCTGGCCTCCAGTTCTTTTTTTACCTTGTAAAGTAACTTATTACTTTCAAATGAAGGTAACTAGTAATATGGAATATATTACATTTTGATAGTAACTAGCCCAACACTGATTGTGGGTGGCACTAGTTGGGTTTCCAATCAAATGTAGCACAAATTTTAACCAAATATTGGAAGTTGGTTCATTATGATAAGCAGTAGGTGGCGCTAATTCTCTGGTCAGTAGCCTGCAGATGAAGAGGGCACAACGAGATAATAAAACAGCATCAGTCAAACGTCAAACAAAGGAAAACGATGGATGTATAATAATAGATATATTACAAGTAATATTACAGCTATGTGTGTTTGGAAGATTTCTGCTGCTTGCAGTGGCCGATGCAATGACGGTACGTTATTTATAAGCTGAATCTGTTTCCCTTGCACTTAGCTGCATTTACCCTTTATCGAAACGCCAACTTCATTTCAAGACTTTATTCATCGTTTCCCATCAAGTTATTTATGCGCAATACTGAAAATGCTAATGAAAAGAAGTGGATGGAAACACACCAACTGTGGCACAAACATCCAAACAAAACATTATCTTTAAGATGCGTTCACCATTAAAATGTGGTATATTTCTATTCTTAGTAATCTCTAGAAACAGATATCTGCATATGCATGTGGTATCTATTGACAACAGGAAAGGATTTTGGTATTGGAGCTGTGGAGAGGCGGAACACATGGGCCAAAATGCAATCTATGAATTAACTGGCTGTCATCTGGTGACAGCTTGGCTTTTTAGTTTTTTAAAATGTATCTGCAGTCATATGCATGGGTGCAGATCCCGGGGGGGACGGGGGAGACATGTCCCCCCCAAATTCCGAAAAACACAAATTGTCCCCCCAAATTCTAAATAGCTTAAATGATTGAAACTGAACAAATGTATACAGTAGTCCTATATACTGGGAGAAAGGGAAGATGATGAGGAGAAATGGGAATCCGTGAGAGGTGAGAGATGAGAACGTGAGTGGACATAACATGCCTGAGACCCTGAAACTAGAAGTAGCATTAACTAACAGCGAAGCAGTGAAAAGGAGGGTGATGGCTGGTTCCATGTACTACTGGCTGTTTAAGAGAAATAAACAGTAAAGGTAAGCATATGATTCTCTTTGTAGTGCTTTTTGAATGACTTGGTGATGGTGATGAGCCTCTATGAAATCGTGAAATATGCTGGCAATCTCAAGCGCTCTGTGGGCATGATTTGCACGCGTGCAATTAAAAAAAAATCACAAATGATTGTGTCCCCCCCAAACTTGTCATCAGATCTGCACCCATGGTCATATGCATATATCTGTTAATAGACAGAGATTAGCCCCAACGATTGGCATACAGAGGAGGAAGTCTCAGCTCATTTATCCACTGGCTACAGCCCAAAATATTGACCCTCGTCCCCAGAGGCTCATCATTGTCAGGCCGAAGGCAGAGGGGTTCCGAGACTCTATTTTTAGTAATTGGCTGACTCCATATCACAAGTCAAGCATAAATTTTGCATTTACATTTTATCTTTATTAACAAATGGTGTTAAAATGGTGAAAAAGTCTTTGTTCGATGTCATTGTTTAACGTTCTACCTAAAAGTTCAGCTCATTAAAGATGTTAAAAAAACTGCCACTTTATCTCAAAAGCAATTTCAGGAATGTATTTGAAGTGAGAGGAAGAGATCTTGGGACCATGTCTTTGAATATAATGAGTGCAACGTGCCACATGGCTCACCCTGCTCCACACCGCCAGTCTGTTTACAAAACCAGGCCTCAGAGCTGCTCATTTCCTCCAGCGGGGGAAGATAACAGAGGGTGAGGAAGTCCCTACTGGCAGGATGGAGGCTGATGGTGACCAGCTTCTAGAGATTAGACAGAAATAATTGGTGTGTGGAGGCAGAGAGGTCGAGAAGTTACTGAGCTTCTGAAGGATTCTTTAAGGGGATTTTCAGACAGAAAACTGAACTCATCTTCAACTCTTAATTACAGATAATGTGTTTTGGACCCAGTGTGTGTAAGGAGTCGCCCAACCTGAAGTCTAGTTGTTGCTGAACTGCCAGCTGGGTGGTCTGGTGGGTTGGGAGTCATAAGTTCAAACTCTGAACCAGCTGGTGTGTGTCCATAAACAGCCATTTGTCTTGGCAATGTGCCTTTTTAGTAAAATCACCACCTGCTAACTGACTTTAAGCTGCTCAGGATGATGCATCTAAATGATTCTGGATAATTAGGGACACTTTAGCTGTCGTTTTTCAAGTTAAGGTATCAAAAACCTGTTGGTTGCAGTTAGGAAAAGATTATCTGGTCTGGTCTAATGTCTGGTGTCGCACTTGGAGACTCTATACATCCATTAATCCACTGGGATCTCACTGGGAACGCACCAAACATCACACCACTTCCTGCTTCGCCACTGAAAGTAATTTTAAAGCAGTTAAACAAAATGACAGATGGTTTTCTGCTGAGCAGTTTCCACTATCTCTTGCTGCTGCTGTAACTCAGAGGAATGAGGAAGTGTTTTAAAATAAGAAGCCACTTCAGCCAGTTTCCATTCTCAACAATGCAGTATCTTCAAAGCATTTCATTCAACTGATAAGAAACTATTACTGTAGACGACTGACAGGTAACTTAATTGATATTTAAAGTTACTTATTAAAGTAAAAAAGGCAAACATTTGTTTGCTGCAGCTTCTCAAATGTGAGAATTTGCTGCTTTTCTCTGTTTTATATCACTGTTGGTTTAATATCTTTAGTTTTTGGAATTCCCTCAACCTTGCCAGGGCCTAGATCTCCCTGCTCATTCACATCATCCAATCAATTAATCAATCAGTTTATTTGTTACATAAAATCATAGCTGTTGCTCAAACTACAGATGCTCGAACTACTGATTGTACTTCCTAATTTTTGTATGCTCAGACACAAAGAGTATAGATCCTTTTAGGGCTGACATCATGATGACGTAATTTATTTGCTGGAGGCAAAACACGACTCTCCACCACAGGGCTGTAGGCTACATAGGAGTCTTAAAATGTCGTCTTGTTGTGTTATTGGGAGCCAGAATAGAAGGAGTCATGGCTCAAAACCTTTTATTGTTAACCATACCGCCCGTCAACAAAAACAAAGACAACTATTTTTAAATGTGATAAGACGAAAGGACTGGACGGAGGCGATCATCAAAAATGCTCACATGTGCAGCGCACGCTTCATATCAGCTTAGGGAAAAAGTATTTCCTGTTGTAGGGATGAATAACGTTATGTGTATTAAGGGTTATCATGTCCACCTCATCAGAAACTGGGGAGGTATTAAGAGGAATGTTGGATTTCTCTGTAATGCTAGCTTTTCAGCGCATTAGCTAACATTAGCTTCAATAGTAAAACAAACTGGAAGAAACCATTCAAGTATCGATTTCCTTTGTAAGATTGAAGTCAACCACAAAGCTTCCTCTGACATCATCCATCCACTGAGTGAGAGCATACGGGTCGGCCAGTCTGGTCCTGTATTTATCCATGTATGTATCCATTTGTAAATTCAGTCTGGTGCTCTACACTAAAATGAGTGTCCTGTTGATCAAAGAAACAGAGCATTATCTAACAAATGGTTAAGTTAATCACACATTGCGGTGCTCTGGATAACCGAACAGTACATTCCGACAGCGCTCTGAATTTATGAACGGTCCAGTTTGTGCCAGCACTCAGAATGAATATTTCTGAAAGTACCACTCGCGTCATCTTCCTCCATTGTGTAAAACAAACCAAGACAACTTGCTAGCTAGGACTGGCTAATGTCTGTGGAGAATCGTTTTGCCTCCAGCTAAGCCTCTCCCACCAAAAAAGTCATACTGTTTCCTAACAGCAAAAGGATCTATAGAGGTGGATCGAGAGAGAGATCCACCCCTCTTTGTCTCTCTCAGACTCAGACCAAACTGTAAACTCGGAAGTGCTGATCAAATTTAAACCAAGATTTTGTTACCGTGTTCTTGCCTAAAATATTTCCAGAAACATATTTTAGTGCCCTGTTCAGCTGTAATATAAGAGTTTGTGAACAGGAAGTGGGCGCCATACTGTTTACTGTATTGTGAAAAATGGAGGCTGAAAAAAATTAGGTTAAACAGTAAAACTTAGCAGTGCCGATCAAATATAAACCAAAATTCTGTTACTGTTATTCTAGTAGTTGTAGCTTTTCTATCTGTTGAGCAAAAGCAAACACCACAGCACTTTTAGTCTTTTCTCAGGTTGTATAGCACCAATTTCAACTGCATAGAACCGTCCAGTTTTATGAAAAGACCATCTTTCCACCAGCGAAATACTTCTTTAAACTCTTTGATATTTTATACACTTCTACATTGTTCTGTTTTATTTTCTCAGGATGATGCTGAGGGTCTGTACTGCCAGGAGCAGATCAACAGGTCAGACTTATTTACCTAAATATGAATTAAACTAATAAAGTAATATCCCGTAATAACTGTACCACAGCTGCACTTTCAGGTCAATCTACTGGGCAGACGGTTACGTGCTGGTTTTCTCCATCACGGACCACAACAGCTACCGGACTATCCAGCCGCTGTACCAACACGTCAGACGTATACACCCCTCTGGAAACATTCCTGTCATACTGGTCAGTGGGATGAGACATCCCGTTTGTAAAAGTACAACATGCTGTGATGTAATCTAGAACAGACAATAACACCTACTAACCCTAATCCCCATCCCAATCTAATCTATCCTGTAATCTGTAATCTGCTGCAGGTTGGCAACAAGAGCGACCTGCTCAGAGCCCGACAGGTGCCAGCGGACGAAGGCGAGACGTTAGCAGCTTCACTAGGTGGGGCATCCTCCTCCTCCTCCTCCTCCTCCTCCTCGTTCTTCTTCTCTTATTGTTTTGACAAAAATTAAAGACCACGATAATTTGTACTTTTCAAGTTAAATTCTTTATAACATGAGATGCGTTTCAGGGCCCTAAAATTAGGTGTTTTGAGCACTAGTTGTCTGTCTTTACCTTACCTTCATTGAACTCCATGAAATTCCAATGGTTGCAGATGCTTTGTTTTCATACAGAAACTTGATCACAGCGCTGCAAATGGAGCTCGGACAGAAGACAGAATTTCCCACAATAGGCAATTTGTAAAAGAGCTCTGAATGCACCGCCCAATTATAACACACACATCTGTCTCCATGTAAACTATATCTTTCATGCTGCCTAATGAACAAGGAATGCCGAGTGTTATCCGGAAGATAAAACTGATCTGAGAACTGCTTCTTCTCACAGGAGGAGTTTACTTTGAGGCCTCGGCAAGAGAGAACCACGAGGGAGTGCACACCGCCTTTCTACATCTCTGTCAGGAGGTGGGACCTTTTGATGTTGTTGTCTATTTATTGGTTTGTTAATCTGCCAGTTAAGGATGAGAATAGGCAGTTGTAGCTTATTCGTTTTCTCATGAAGGCATTTATAGGCACATATCAGGATCTTATTCACTTTAAATCCAGGAAACTTTAATGGATTATAACTTCCTGTGGGAACCATGATTACAGGATATTTCCCACTGATGCCCAGAGTCACCAAAAGAATACAGAAATACCATGTTTGTCTTTTGGTCAGACGGAGCTATACCAGCCCACATTGGTCTGTTCTGTATATTTGTTTTTCTGGTGGGGCATTACAGAGTTTTTGCCCAGAGGCTCATTACATCAGAGTGTGTTTAGACTGTTTCCTTTTCTGGTGCTCAAGAGAGCAGATTTTTAAACCTAAGTTCTGTTGAATGTCGAACATCATTTAAGTGATTAGGCGCTTTGAAATTGCAGTCAATATGTTTTTATTAACAATAGAACAAGACTGTGCAGTCCCCCTCAGCTGTTTAGCATCTTTCAGCTCAACTCTGGTATCCAACCGCTGCAGGCAGCTGTTTGCAGCAAAAAAAGGTCTGATAAGCCAACTGTTACACGACCTCCTTAGCATCAAGCAGAAGATACACAAAGCTGGTGAACAAACGAAGCATTTGGTGGCTAAAGAGCCGCATATTTCCCTCAGGAGATGGAGGAGACCAAAAACAGAGCAAAAAGGAGGGTTCAAAATTGGAGGTATATTCATCAGGTGCCCCAAAACATGACTTAAAATGACTGAAATTGTTGTCACTGGATGTGATGGATGTGTTGTCCAAAAATAACCCTACCCCAGGGTTTGAATCTCCCACCCTGGGTTTGAACCAGGAACCCTCTTGCTTTGGAGCATCAATGCTAACCACTGTGCCGCCACAAAAAACAACTACAGACATAAATTAGAAATACATTAAATTAAGAGTAAAGTAGAAAAAAAAATATACAAAGACAGGTCTTATCAAGTGTGTGTTTGGCTGTTTGAGCAAAGTAAACTTGGTCCCAGGTCTGGCTTTATTTCAGCGAGTCACTGTGTCGTCTGTGTTTCAGGTGATCCGGGCATTGGGAGGAGGCAACGGGGAGAAACGAAGAGGAGGCCTCCACCTGGCCAGACCCAAATCTCCCAACATGCAGGAGCTGAAGAGGAGGTTCAGGCAGGTCCTCTCCTCCAAAGTCAAGTCCTCAACAACTCTCTGATCGTAGGATGAAACTAAAAACATCAAGATAAGAGAGCTTCCATGGAGATAAAAAGATTCTGCTCCTTTGCTGATGGAAGGCTGAAGAAAAATGGAAGAGGTCTCGATATGGAGGACTTTAAAGTTTGGGAACTGAAGCTGTTCTGTGGTGACTGAAGCATTTTAACTTTGTCGTCTTCAGATGGATAAAGATGTGAGACTGAATGGAGGTTTCTGCAGGCTAAGCTCTTCTCTGCGTTTTGGACGGAGCTCATGGTTAACATGACCTCTACCCAGGATGCTGTTCAGAATTAACATGTCACAGACTGCAAAACAAACAGCTCGTGTTGTCACAAACTTGTTTACCACGAAGGCAGTGAGCGTGTCGGTCCACTGACTGGGTCACTGTAAACTAAGCCGTGTCTCAGTTTTCTTGAGGCTGAAAAATCACTCTTAATACATTGTGACAAAGGGAATTTAACACGTTTTACACCTGAGAAGACAATTTAAAGAAAAAACTGTTGTTTCTAATGTCCTGTCATATAACACTGAGTCTCATTTTACCCCCTCTTGTTACAGTTTCCTTTACTTTGATTTTAATTGGGATTTTTTTTGCAACTAAACACTCAAAAGACTCATTTTTTTATTTGGTTCAAGATGAGAGTAATGCCAGATTTCAACTTTGCCGAAACCAAATAAATGAAATGCAAGTCTCCATCCTGTCTGTTGCAGACTTATTAAGATAGTAGTCAGAACAGAAACAGGAAATGACCCCGAAACGCAAGGTTCAAGGTTTTCACTGAGACAAAACGTCGGTATTTGACAGCCGGAAGGGAAGCCTCGCAAAACAAAGTGAGGACAAACGCTGATATTTATGGAAGTCAGTGCCAGTTTGCCAATAATAAAATGTAATAATTTAATCAAATTTTATTTTGCATTTGTGAATAATGTATGACAGAATTCACAGTTAGAATTTAAAATCCAATTTTGAAAATACATAATTACTGCCAAAATAAAAATGTAAATGGAACTTGCATATTGATAACAAAATTTTATGTAAAATTTATATTTCATTTGCACTTTAAAGTTGCGTATAATATGTAGCCTAAACTTCAAATTGGCACTTAACTGCTGCACTTAAATTTAAATAATGTTCTTTTCAATCATTTATTGTGAAAATTAAAGTTTTTATTATGTCAGGATACCTTGTACCATCAGAACTTGATAAAGTTTTCTTCAGTATCAAAGTAATCCAGAGATAGCAATAGCTGTCTGTACATTGAATTTGCACTGCAAGCAGGAAATGCCAATAGCTAATTCAGCATACTTTTAAAGGTGCCATCTTTTCAGAATATAACAAATATATGCTAAAAAAAACACAGATGTCAACATTTTTTTAAGTGCCCAATTTTGAAAACCTCTGTCATTATTAAACTCACCATAAAAATGGCCATTTCCATTTTATTTTCATTCAAAATTCGCTTAAATATTTTTTAGACATTTTTTTTTACAGCATGAAATTAAAAATGTTATTTTAATTTTGGATTTTCATTTGTCACACAACATGCACACACACTATTCAGCAATTATTATATTGGCAGCCATAGACTTCTTTATTCAGCTGTTCATTGTGTTTCAACTGATGTTTTGACATTAATGTTTTGCAAGAGTTACAGGGGCTGCCATTAGCGTTAATTTTAAACCTCCAAATTCATCACCAGAATCTCCAAAACACGGTGTACTTATGAATCCATGTGTCTCATTTACGAGCCCTAGATTGCCTGTAATTGTGACAACATAAACTTTTCCACTATAGATCAGCCTGAACAATCCAAACTCAAGGTGTGAAAGCCCCATTAATGGCTCGCGGTCTGAGAAGTATTTCATTTCTGTTGTTTCTTTAGAGGAAGGTGTTAGTGTTCTGTGGAGTTCATGTTGCTCCTGAGGCCTTTTCTTTCTTGAGAGAAGGAATTTCTGGGCGAGTCACAGTTTCTTGGTACTAAGAGATGTTGCGTTTGCTGTAAAGAAAGAAGTCCAGAGTTTAATTGTTGTGTTCAAGGGTCAAGATCCTAAATTGAAGATGGAATTGATAAAATAGAGTCACTGCTATCTGTAAAGATTTGGGAATAGGTTCAAGTATGTAAAAGGAAGTTGGGAAGTGTGTTTGTGAGTGTGTGTTTTCCGCTGTTCTCATGACCTCTCCTCTTACTGACACACACAAAATTCCCAGTAAAGAGAAAATTCCGCAGCATCTGGAATTTCTTCCTCGGTCACTGAACTGCCACTCTAACCCTTTTTACACACACAAACACACACTTTAGAGATTGTCTTCTGACCCTGACTTGTGACCCTTTTTGCCCTCTGACCTTTAAAAGCAGCAGGGCTCCATCAAGAGTCTGGAAAAAAGCTGAGATAAGGCCACTTGTCTAGCTCACTGCGTATCAAGGCAAAAATCCTGAGATGCCATTTGATGAATGCAAAGATAGAAGTGACGTGTGTGATAAACTTAGATTTTTTTCCCATAATTTTCAGTTACTTTAAGTCTAATTTTTCTCGTGTTTTCTTTTAAGACATCAACTTTACTTCCCACACACACACACACGCACACACACACACACACACACACACACACACCATGTTTCTCTTTAAAGACCTCTTTCCTGTGTGCCACTGGATCAAGTGCTCCTGCATTCTCAAATGAATAAGTGAGGATTTCCTCCCCTTTTTTCCTCGAAGAAGCACAACATGGACATTAAATGTGAGTTTAATTTGATAAATGAGGAGTTAATGTGACATTTATGAGGCCAGATTTAGAAAATGGAGCCTCCACTAAGTGTTCCCTTTTTCGGTAAGGAGAAAAGGAGCTGAGGGGAACTTCTGGGTTCTGTTTCGAGAATAAGAAAATCAAATAACACTGACATTGTCAGTATGTCTGGTTTTGAGGCATAATCCTACTCAACAGCATGTCATGTCATCTAGACATGACATGCTGTTGAGGCCAAGAACATCAAATCATGAGAAAGAAATACACAGCTCACATCCATGCAGGGATTTAATTAAAGGCTTTTGGTTTTTACTACGGTAAATGTTTGACAAGAAGGTCAGAGCTCATAATGACATCAGATAGAGCACACGTGCTTATTCGTTCAAGTACTCGTGGGAAATGTGGTTCACAACTGTAGTTACAAAAGGCCGCATACAAAAGACACTTCACAGATAAAACACACCACAAAAACGAACCTAAATTACCAAATCCAGTCTGTAGTAGTGTGATAATTTGGGACCAGACTGCAAAACTGTGAAAGGTGCTGCTGGGATTTGATCACATATTTGCACTGGAAGTTAAAGTACTTAATGTTCTCTGATACCAGCTTGAGTTGGCAGATTGTTCTGCTTGTACAGAAATGTGAGCAGTACATCCAGGACAGTATTTCAGGCAGAGTTACAAATATTTTCAAATCACTGGAGTCCACGGAAACACACACACCCACACACACGTCAGTTAGCAAACCAGTAGCATATGGAAGTCATTCATTTTTCCAGGTAAGACATAGCACATAGTGGACTTTCCACATGTGTCACAAGAGATGCGCCACATGTGATTTTTCCACCCTCCATCCAAGTTCATATTCCAGTGCCTTTGCCCTCTTACATTGCTGCTTTAAATGGCCCTCATAGCATTTAGTATTAAATTGAAAGCCTTTACTGCAAGCTGTTGGAACACACTGCTTTATCAATGTAGAACTGCAGAGAAGAACATAAGGTGTGCATCAGTATCTGCCCCTGTGCTCACCTAATTTCTTGTGTCCCAAAAAGAAAATCATTCCAATACTGAAGAGTACAAACAAGAAAAAAATTAAATTCCCCGAAGCCAACTTCTCTGACAGAGTCTGTTGACTCTGGACATGAACAGACTGCTTTCTTTAATTTTGTGGGCATAATTAAAACACCAGTATGTCCTCATTTTCAATCTAATAACAGCTACTTAAAGCTGGAATCCATTATTTGTTGGTGGTGCAAATATAAACTTGCGTCATCTGCATAGCTGAGTATACTTGTTTGTGCCTTAAAGAAGTATTTCACTGCTTCTGAAATTGGTGCTACATCATTAGAGAAAACACGTGGGTGACGTAATGTATGCTTGCCCATTTTGGCACAGAAAACAATATGGCAGCTGGCTGGTAACAAACAATCTCATATTATAGTTAAAACAGTCAGCTAAAATATGTTTCTGGAAACATTTTAGGAAAGAAATAGGCAACACAGTAACGTAATCTTGGTTCATATTTGATCAACACCACTTAGTTTTACCATTTGATCCGAGATTGACAGAGATCAAGAGAGGGGCGGTTCTTTCCCACACTTCGTTTCTATACTCTTTAGCCCCTTTTACACTGCCAGATTTTCCGCAAATGTTGGGCCGTTTTGCCGGCAAGCTGTGAGCGTTTAAACACACAGAGCCGGATTGGCGAATTGATCTGAGGTGCCCAATTTTCTGCCTTGTAGGGTAGTCATATTGGCGGAACCCTTTTAGTTTAAAAAGAGCAAGGCAGCCTTCTGCAACAGGAGGGGCTGTTGAAGACTTGTGGGAGGAGCTGTTGATGACGCTGCATGTGCGACCCACTGGTGGTGGATAAACAGGAAACAGTTGATAGCAGAAATTAGCGAGCAGCTAGTAGCAAGAGGGAAACACAAACCTGACAGACACTGTAAAGATGAGTAACTGGGGAGACAAGAAATTGCGCGCCCTCCTTGCCCTCACAAACGAAGAGGCTATTAACCGGGAGATGACAGGAACAGTAAGGAACAGGCCAACTTACAAGAGAATCGCCGAAGGACTGACTCCCACATCACTGTTTACGTCACGCGCTGAGCTAAACGTTTTGTTACTTGCTCACGACCCCCATTGCCGCACTCCCTGATTTTGTTGTTATACTGCCAATGCTGAAAAAAAGACTGATTGGCTTTCCTGCAAATTTGCACAATTCCTATCTAAAAAGGGCTTTTGTGTCCGTGGTGTCAGGCACACAGAAATGAAGAAGTACAATCTGTAGTTTGAGCAACAGCCCTAAAGCCAGCGAAAAGAGCTGAGAGATGAGCAGGGAGATCTGGGTGCTGGTTAGATGAAGCAAAGTGTACTACTGTTCATTTGCACACACCAACATTGTTGTGATACAGAGCTGGTTGAAAACAGGCAAACTATCCCTTTAAGGGGTTATGGCAACATGCACCCGCTCAAAAATTCTATACATATCAAACCCACATGTCAAAACAGCAACTGTACTACATGAAGACAGCAAGATCTCTGATTGGTCAGCTTGGGCTGCTTGTGTTTTTCTACAATTTCCTGATGCTGGTAGAGATTGTTGTCAGTAAAGACAAGGTTAAGTAAGCTTAAGAAAAGCTTGCTTAATGTTATCTTCTACTTTTCAGAAATACATATCTTGCAAGCAATGATCTAGGTAGCTTGGACGATGGTACATGCATAAAAACAGCTTTTCTAGGCTCTCAAGTAAAGTTTTATATTTATTATTCCGTCATGGTTTAAAATCTCATAATGAAAAGAGTAATAACTGACCTTGCCTGCAGGCCGAGGAGTCCTTTCAACAGTTATTCAGACATCTCTTCTATAGTGGTGGTCTATGGGAAAACAGTCAGTGTGCTTTAGTCAGTTTTCTTTCAGTGTAAAAGTAGACACAATCTAAACATGGTAAATGCTAACATGCTAAAAAGGTAATGGACTAGCATAGATGAAGTCAGCTTTTCAAAGGCAAAACACCCCAAGCAACCAAATACAAACATGTGGGTGTTCTGGTGACCACTATGGGAAAGCACTTTATCAACAACAGCAGTGTGGAGGACATAAGCCAGCTGTGTGTGTGTGTGTGTGTGTGTGTGATGCCTTATTCTGTTATCTCTAGGAGGCGGCAGGAAGTTAACGTCCCATTTGGGATGAAGTCAAGACCCCAGACCTAAGAAGATCTAAGACTTATGAAAGTAAAACAAAATATCAAAAGTGAAAGAGAAGAGAGAGTGGATCATTATGTAAACCCCCTCCCTAGTAAAGGGTTGAAAGAAGCAGGGGGGGGAGGAGAGACAGAAGATAGCGGGTGTTGAAGGGAGACAAAGTCAGACAGATAAAAATGAGACATAAGATTATCAGCTTGTTTGTGCAGACATTAAACAAATGAACATGTCAGCTTTCAGCAACGCTTTCAACACGAGATGCTAAATGAGTGACATCTAAATGCTGCTGTGAATGGCCAACACTGCTTTTTGATGATAAAAATCAAGAACATTAATGCTTAATTATTGTTATCTGCAAAGGAAAACTAGGGTTTTTGAAATAATATTTTTAGGCTGGTGACATTCTCAGAGCTGCAGACTCAAAAAATGCATTGATATTTACATTTGAATTTTTGGGGGGCAGGGAGCATTTTCCAAGCCTT